AAAGTGTGGCTATATTTCACAAGAAAGGATTCCAACACCGCGGCGTTTACAGCAGTTGCGTGTAAAGGGGGAAACACGTCAAATCTAATGAAACATTTGAGGGTACACGGAATAAACTTAAAAGCATACGGATGCACCGTGCTTGACAGCTTGAGGACAACAGCTGGCACGATCGGTGTGGATAACCCCAGCCCCGATCATACCAACCGTAGCAAAAAGGAGTCCACCGATTTTGTAAAGTATCGGTTCAGGCACCGTTTTGGCACCGGTACCGTTTTAAAAGTATCGATTTGGCACCGGTATCGAAAAAACCCCAAACGATACCCAACCCTAGTTAAAACAAAACGTAAAGTTAGCAGTGGGTTCGATCGATCCTCTTCAGACATTCACAGATCTCTGTACAGTATTTACCTTATATATTAAAACATTACAAAAAGAAGAAAGCAAGGTGACTCTCACGCTCATGCAAGAAATCATACGGAAAATCTATATTATTCCATTATAAAATTACAATTAACCACATCAAAACTGCAAACCATATAGACAATTTACGTGTTAGTAATACTGATACATAGATGTAAATGAGTGTGCAGTCTCGAATTGAAAATTTCAGGTTAGACAGCTGACCAAAGTTGATGACACTGATTACCCTTATTAAATTGCTGCACAATAAATCATTGTACCGCCAGGCGGACAAGAAGAGCTGCTTACCAGTGTTCCGGGCAATAAAGTTTCCCTATGTTTCCCCTGTCGCGCGCTGATTTGTACACGGTTTCGCTGTTGTTTTCATGTCTTTTTACGAAGCTCTTGAGGTAAACAAGCCATGTATTTTAAAACATCACATGCCTTTTCTATGTTTTTTGTTTTTACAGATAATAAATGAAAGTATTTCATTTGCTGGATAGAGATATTTCTTGATGAAAACGCAGAGTAATCATATCACATTTGGGCCCTTGAGAAAAGCCTTTGTCCTCAACTTTGTCCTCCAAATATTCTCATTGTGTGGGTGCTAAATAAATGAGCACAAAGTAGTGTAATGCTAATGATGTAGTTAAAGAGAAAAAAAATGAACGTCAACAATAATACTGTACACCAAGGAACTGATTTGGATATACCCTTTATTTGTCAATGTGTTTGACTAATAAAGCACAAGCAAGTTTGATTTTTGAGCAAATATACAGATGATATATAGAGAATTTGCATCTGGAATTATAGTGCTACAGTACATCACATGAACAAATATTCTTTCCCTCTTTTAAAGATTAGGCAGATTAGGTTGTAGTAAAAAAAAACATTATATTGTAACAACATTTCTAGAAAACATAAACAACATCTGCAAAGAGTATGAATGCTCCTGTTAATCTAGTTTTCCTGAAATGTGTAACAAAACCCTTCAGCTATTCAGCAGTGTTCGGTATTTATAGTGTCCCCTTTGCAACTGCCACTGGAGAGACCTTTTGTATTGCAGCTGCGGGTTCGAGAGCGTTGACCGGCCTGGCAGCTTGACCAGGGAGACCAGCAGTTCCAATTTCCTTCCTGGATAACATTTCCTACTAAAACAAAATCTGATGTGAAAACATTGAACGGAAAGATGCAGGATCGCCAAGCTGCAGAAGTAAGGCGATTGACAACTGTGGATATGGACACAAAACAGGAAATGATAATTATTCATCTGGCCCCATGATATAATTAGATAAAGTGACCTACCCTCCAGTAAGTCAGACTTAAGTGTCTGACATGCCAGTCCCTCAAACTGGGGTGCGCACAGACATAGGCACCGGCCGTCGATCATTGCCACTGTGCCTCCATTCTGGCAGGGCTGACACTTGCACACACTATACTCAGCGATGTAATCCTCAGTCGCTCTCTCTATGTTGCTTTTCTTGGTTTCAGCATGGAGCATATTTACAGGAATCAGAGACAAGATAGGCTCCGGCTGTCGGTAAAAGAAAATAGTAAATACAACTCCATCTGTCATGCACTAGGAAAGCAAAGGCAAACCAGCGGCAATGACAATGCATTTGACTTCTTCAGGCCAAATTTTTTATTTATTATTCAATGAAACTAGTCACGTTGCATTTTATTGTATATTCATACTTGACTGGAGAGCAGAACTGGTGCATCATGAAGTGATTTAGCCCACTGAACGTAGGCTTCTGGATCCAGCACACCAGTTTTCTCTAATTTAGTCTTCAGGAAAGTAGCAGCTACTACTGTGCCTCCATTGATGGACGTCACCACCTTGTCAATGAGTGCATCATTATTTCCGGTTTCTATGTGGAAAAGCCAGGTAGGGGTCAAATATTTCTCAAATAGTGCTCAGTTCGATGGTTCTCTTGCCACCCAAAGAGACAACATGGTAACTTTTCATCAATGAACTAACCATTTCCTGAAACTCTCACTTTTTCACAATTTCCTGTGTCCAATCTCACAGTGGTATCAGCCTCGAATTTAACAGAGAGGTCAAGGTTGAGGCACTCCTGGATTTTCTGCTCTGTCATTTCTGGAATTAACAAAATATTGAAAAGTGCTGTTTGAAATGAACCAGGGTAGTTTAAAATAAAATTCTGTAATATTCCATGAAATACATCTTTTTTAAACCACTACTGTTCTTCAGCAATACTGCATGCAAATTCACGTTTTTATATTTATGTCCAATAATATAACATAATAAGCCAAAACAAATATTACAGTATATGGTTAAAGTCTTCAGTAATAGAGTATACTTCATATGTAATTAATACGATTATAAAACTGATTTTTCAGACAGCATACTTGTTGTCTTCATGACTTCCTTGTTTATGACATAGACAAGTTCGTATTCGCCGCCTGACTTTCCAGACATGGCATAATGTGTTCCATAATCTTCCAAGAATCTGAAGTATTCCCCCTTGTTGTACTCCACTGGCAAATAGGATATGTCATTTAGAAAGATTTCTGTCAACATGGGATCTCTTGACCTCATTCTGAATGTGCTCAGCTGAACCTTGCCTTTAACTCGCATAAAACTCCTGTGCTGAAAAGAGAAATTAAATCAACACGTTGCTTAAAAGATTACCTAAAAGGTAGCAGTCAGTCTATAAGTTTAATTACATCATATGCTTGTCTTCCATTAAAGTGATGAAAGTTCGCTGAAAGATTATTGTGTAGTTAGACATTTGAATTGTCAAAAAGGTGCCTCTGGGTTTCATGTATTATGTAATGTGTGAGGCTGGCTCAATAGGTGATAATGTTTGAATCTTATCTCTATTCTGTATGTGTAGAGTGTCACATGGGTTTCCTCCCAGAACCCAAAGACATGCAGTTAAATTAATTGCCTGCACTACACTGCTATTAGTGTGAGTGACCTGCAATGGACAAGCATCCCACTCAGGGTGTACCTCAACCATTCAGGGTGTACAAGCAGTCCCTGGGTTAAGAGCAGACAACTCATTCTTACAAAAAGACTAAAATTTTTCTGCTAAAAATTTGAGTTGAATACAATGGTTTGTAATAACGAAGGTATGCACTATGTTGAAACCCCCATGAAAACATTGCACGGCCTCAGCAGTCTGTCTGCATGAGGTACAGTACAGTATGCAATTACTTTTGTATTATTATAATATACTATATTATTATTTTGCCAACTTATCTACAAATTTGATTTCAAGACAGACATAGGGAATGGATCTTGTTTGTAACCTAGGGATTGACTGTACCCCTTTGCTCCCTCCAAGAAATCCTGATCAATACTGCCTACAAGTCCTACTCGGAAGATCTGAATAGGATCGAGTTGGGGAATCATAATTATGACTTGACGCCTGTTCAATTGGTTAATAAAATGTATTACTTTCGAAATAGACATAAATAAGGGCTTTCTACGGAGGAGTGTAAGAATAACTGAAATATGTAAAACATATTTAGAACGTAATTGTTTCCACTAGGACTGACATGATCACGTCGCGATGGAACGATTGTTTCACACATGAACAATAATCACCAGTGCTTCAGGTGACAGGTGAAAAATTTGTCCGGCTTTTTGGTCATAAACTCAGTAATCTGTATGAATTCGAAATATGTTATGTTTATTAAATCCGGCTAGCGGAGCATGCCCCATGCTATTGTTTTGGTAAATCATGGAAGCAATATAAGTACAGAAGTGGCGGTGAAGAAAAGGACAGCTTAACAGCCACAAAATTGTTTGAAAGAGGAGATATTGTGGATGTGGTAGAAAGATGTCGGTGGTGTGGTGGTACTTTTTGCAGTTTAGTTTTTGCAGTCAGGCACGGTTATTAAACATAAGGATACGTCGAAGTTACACAGACTGCTGACTTTTGGGCGTAACATTACGAATCTCATTAACATTTTTGGCACACTACTAATCTTCTTAAGTAAATGTCCGTATAGTACCGAAAAGTCTGCCTCCGGACAAATGTCTCATCCGTCATCTAAAGCCCTGAAGCCGGTTGCACAAAACTCCTTCAGTTAAGATTTAAGTTCGAGTTTAGGTTTCCATAAAATAAAGTGTGTTGCACAAAAAAACCTTACGTTTTTTCCTTAAGGCTTCATTAAAATGTTCACTTAAGTACAGTGGTACCTTGGAACACGAAAATAATTTGTTCCAGACGGCTGGTTGCGATTTGGTCGAGGTCCAAGTCCAATTTCCCCATAAGAAAATTAATTTAATCCGTTCCAGACCGCCCTAATGTTTGCCTATTTAAACTTATCTACTTACCTACCTAATGATAAAAAGCATTCGCAATCAATATAAAACTAATACACACATGAAAAGGCACACACGCAAAAGCAATAAACATAAAATAAATGACAATCCCATACTCAGAAGCGAGAGCAGACAGACATGCACCACCTTAAAGTCTCACTATAATTTCATTTTTAAGTTCTACAATTACTCTCAACACTTTCCTCTTTGGTTTGCTGCTGTCACTGCAAACTTTCTTATAGGGCCCATGATTACTGTACGTATCACTAAATGTACAGTACTGTAGATAACAAGAAATAACTCAACACAGGAACGCTTTCGCACCTTCGAACTCGGTCGGGAGGTGAGACAGAGTGATTCATAGGGCATCAGAATCCCAGTAGGTCCATTTTCCTTTGTGTTGTAGGGGCTCCTACCTATTAAGCAGAATTCATTCTCCCTTACCTATGCTCATATGTGCAGGGTGTGGTGATCAGGCATGCCTAAGCGGGGACGCGGGCTTTTCGGTGTTTAGGCACGCTGAAATAAATACACCTGTTTTTTGGTGCTCTACATGTGGTAACTGCCACTTTCCTTTTTTCTGCTGCACTGCAGCTCCACAGTGGTGAGCCCAACGTTTTGGTGCGTTTGCTTTTTGCTCCAACCATGCTTGCGAATGCAGTTGCGCTCAAACTCCCAGAGTTCTGGTGCGGCCAGGCGGCAGTTTGGTTCATGCAGGTGGAGGCTCAGTTCGCCTTGCACGGTATTACGGAGAACGTGACTAAATATTATTACGTCATTGCAACACTGAACAGCTCCACAGCAGCTGGAGTGGTGAGTCTGCTACAGAACCCTCCGGAGGCAGACAAATATGGTGCCATAAAGTCTCTGTTGCCGAGCACTTACGAGCTTTCCGAGACAGAGCACGCTCCGATTGCTTGCGTTGCCTGGGCTGGGCGATTCATGGCTCTCGGAGCTGATGGATCACATGCTAGCTCTCCTAGGTGACCATCAGCCGTGCTTTATTTTTAGGGAGCTTTTCCTACAACAGCTGCCCGCAGACGTGTGGGGGGCGTTAGCTAACCTCCCGCTTAAAGACTGTAGGGAGCTTGCTAGGGAGGCCGACAAAGTACACACCGCCAGGCTGGCAGCTTGTTCAGCCGTCTGAGCTCGGAGCTCAGATAGCTCCCCGCCGCGTGCTGATGCTACTGTCTCAGCCGCACAGCGGAGCGGTATACCAGGCCTCTGCTTCTACCATGTGCGGTTTGGTGACAAAGCAAAAAAATGCACCCCCCCCTTACCGTTTTAAGGGGATGGGAAACGCACGGGCTGGCGCTCATTAGCAGCAGCGACCATCGACCGTTCCAGCAGCCTGCTGTTTGTCACGGATGCTGTGTCTGGCCGCCATTTCCTCTGCGACACGGGCGCGCAGCTCAGTGTTTTGCATGCGTCGGGAGTGCATACGTGCTCCGGGACGAAGGGCTCAACTTTGGAGGCCGCTAATGGCAGCAGTATCCTGACTTATGGCACTCGTGTTGAGGCAGTCTGTTTTGATGGCCAGCGATTCTGGTGGCGTTTTGTGGTGGCGAAGGTGTCCACCCCCCTGCTGGGCACCGATTTTTTTATGCGCTAACAACCTGCTGGTGGACATAAAACACAAGCGCCTGGTTGATGCCATTAGCAGGGCTGGTTCGTCTCAGCTGTCTAGTGCCTTGGGGGCAAATGACACCTTCGCCCGCCTGCTTGCGGAGTTCCCAGACCTCACCTGGCCCACCTTTACATCAGTCACAGCCAAGCATGGTGTTGAACACCACATTGCCCGTCCATGCCCAAGCCTGACACCTTGATGCGGGTAAATTGGCCATCGCTAGGGCAGAGTTTGCGGCATTGGAGAGCCTTGGTATTGTTTGGGGTTCCATTGGAGAGCCTGGGCCTCCCCTCTGCATATGGTACCCAAGCCAAGTGGGGCATGGCGCCCATGTGGCAATTGCCGCTGGCTTAATGACGCCACAACCCCAGATCGCTACCCGATCCCACACATCCAGGACTTTTCTTCCCGATTGGCGGTGGCATCCATTCTTTCAAAGGTTGACCTGGTGCGTGGCTACCATCAGGTCCCAGTACATCCAGGGGACTGCGGTCATCACCCCGTTTGGGCTTTTTGAGTTTCTTCGGATGCCTTTTGGGCTTAAAAACGCTGCCCAGTCTTTCCAGCGACTCATGGACAGTGTCCTGAAGGACCTTCCGTTCCTGTTTGTCTATCTGGATGACATTTTGGTGGCCAGTAACTCCAGGGCTGACCACATAGCTCACCTTTGGACCCTTTTTGAGCATCTGAGCAGTCATGGGTTAATAATCAACCCACAAAAGTGCCAGTTTGGTTTGTCCTCCATAGACTTCCTTGGCTACCGCATCACGGGCGATGGGGCAGTTCCAAAGTGGAGGCCATCTCTTTATTTCCGCAGCCTGCTACAGGTAGGGCCCTGCAGGAGTTCCTGGGCATGGTTACTTTCTACCATCGCTTTATCCCACGGGCTGCCCAGCTGGGGCGGCCGCTGTATGAGGCTCTCAGGGGTAGGACGGCCAAGCAGGTTCTTGAGTGGACTGCTGAGCAGACCCAGGCTTCTGTAGCTACCAAGTCTGCTCTGGCAAACGCGACCATGCTGGCCCATCCATTGTCTGATGCTCTGGTCGCGCTCACCACTAACACCTCAGACTACACTGTGGGGGCCGTGCACGAGCAGTTCATGGAGGGTGCCTGGCAGCCGCTGGCCTTTTTCAGCTAAGGCCGCATCAGCGGAAGTACAGCACCTTTGACCGTGAACTTCTTGGTCTGTACTTGGCTGTGCGTCACTTCCGGTTCGTCATAGAAGGCCGCCCAATCACGGTTTTTGTTGATCACAAGCCCCTGATGTTTGTGATGGCTAAGACATGGGATGCTCGTCAGCAGCGGCAGCTCTCCTTTATATCAGAGTTCACAACTGACATCCGGCATGTGGCAGGGAGGCATAACCAAGTTGCTGACTGTCTCTCCCACTTGGTGGCAGGTGCTGTGCACTTGGGAGTGGATTATGCTCGATTTTCAGCGGATCAGTGGGTCGATTTGGAGGTGCAAGCTTATAGGACCGCAGTCACCAGTCTGCGGCTGGCAGATGTTCCCTTCCTTGACTGTGGTGCCACCCTCCTGTGTGATATCTCAACCGGTCTGCTAGGCCTATCGTGCTGGCTGATTGACGTCATCACATCTTCGAGGTGGTGCACGGGCTTTCACAGCCAGGCAGACGAGTGACTCAGCATCTGATGGCCGCCAAGTTTGTCTGGTATGGGCTGCGGAAGCATGTCCATAGTTGGGCCGCCTCCTGTGTTCAGTGTCAGCGTGCTAAGGTGCACCAACATACCAAGGCAACGCTGGCGCCTTTTGTGGTGCCTGAGCACCGTTTTGACCATGTGCATGTGGACCTGGTCGGGCCTTTTCCCCCTTCCTTGGGTTTTACTCACTTGCTAGCGGTGGTGGACAGGTCTACTTGTAGCTACCAAGTTTCATACCTTTGTCATCCACCACCACGGCAGATGTGCCCAGGGCTTTCATCGGTGGTTGGGTGTCTTGTTTCGGGGTTCCGTCTGATGTGTCTTCGGGCCGTGGAGCCCAGTTCACCTCTGAGCTCTGGGCTGCAGTGGCCCAGGTTTTGGGGGTTTCCCTCCATCGTACCACAGCCTACCATCCGCAGGCCAATGGGCTGTGCGAGCGTTTTCACCGCTCCCTGAAAGCCGCTCTTCGGGCCAGCCTCAGGGACAGCGGCTGGGTGGACAGGCTTCCCTGGGTTTTGTTGGGCCTCCGGACCGCTCTCAGGCCAGACCTGCAATCCTCGTCGGCCGAGTTAGTCTATGGGCAGACTCTGCAGATGCCAGGGGATTTCCTGCCCACCACCACAGCCCCTTGTAGCGCCGAACGCCAGCACTCCGCTCTGCAGGACTTGGCTGGGGCTTTCGTTCCAGTGTCCACGACTCAATAAGGGGTGCCCCAGTCACATGTTCCAGAGGGTAAGGCCTGCATACGTCTTTGTCCGCCATGATGCTCATTGGGGCCTGCTGTGGCCACCTTACGATGGGCCCTTCCATGTGCTACAATCTGGGGACAAGTTTTTCACACTGGACATTAGGGGCAAGCCAGACCGGGTTTCGGTGGATCGTCTGAAGCCTGCCAAAACTTAAGGTACCTCTGACTATACTGTATCTTAACTGACGAGTTCATGGCGATAAATAAAGAAAATGAAGGCATCCTGATAAGAGTGTCCTGCAACTGGGAGTACCCAATGAATAAGATTAATGATAATAAATTTATTTTATCTGACCGACAGTCAATTTATGATTTTATTTATATTTAATATTTTTATTAATAAGTGCTGGCAAGTTTCACCCTGAGCACCGGCAATCTGCTCAATTTTTCCTCTACTCTTTTCCCAGTACCTCCGCTTATCTCCCAAGTTAGCGCAAGTGCTTGTCGTTAACCATCCAGCAAAGTTTATCGTTCCACTCAGATATCCTTAGTCAAGGGAAAAGTACCTACTTGTAGAGAAAACAATACAGGAGGGGGAACCGTCCACATTTTCATCAGATAAAGTTGTAATAGGGACAAAATCCGGCTTTTAAATTTTTATTTATATTCGCCAGACGAATAATACGTTGCATTTCGTCATTGTCATTAAACGTACATTAAAATCATGTTTTTTGTTTTAGTCATCGTCACGCAAAATAACCCGTGAACAAACCCATTAACGAAATTAACATTGGAGGCGATAACAGGTATCACGGGCAGCAGGGCAAGCAAACAAATGTTCTCCATGGAAATGTTATTGCCGTAAAATGTCTTTCAATGCAGTAAATCCTGTACGACTTTTCCCCAACTAAGAAAACCTTTTAAGGGATTCTGTGCAACACCCTCTATAAGCTAAAGAAAAACTAAACCTTAAGTGTCATACTTAAGGTGTCTTGCGCAACCAGGCCCCTGGTGATTATTGCACATATGGTATATATATATATATATATATATATATATATATATATATATATATATATATATATATATATATAATCACAATTACATAGCGATGTGGTCGTGACAACCCTACTTTCCACATCTTGTTCCAAATTTATATTAACTTAATATTTTGATACATACCTTAACAGTAGAATATCCACTGAGAACTTTTATGGTTTCATTCTTTTGATTTTTATATGCCATATTCACAGAAGTGCTATTATTTGATTCAGTTTCTGAATTATCTGATTCAGATGTGAATTTGAAAGAAAGGTCAGCTTTTAGCGATTGCGTATTTTCCTTTAAAATTTCCTTCAGAAGAGAATTGGCTTCATTAAATATTTCCCTTGAAATATGTTCATCTGCAATGGTCTGGACAAAACATTTACTGTTTAGCATGTGATTCATTAGGCAAACAAAGATAAGCTGAAGAGCAAAACAACTCATGACAAAACAGATTATAATGACATAAGTTCAACAGCATATAAACTTACTTATCAGGATGCCTTCATTTTCTTCACCCATATATATATGGGTGCCACAAGTGTAATGCAGAAAATGATAACTTTCAATATCTTAATTACAAAGCAAAAGAAAGAAAAAAGCTGAACAGTAAACCCACCACATAGTCCAAAGTGGCTACATTCCAAGGGAGGCGATGGTATTTTAATGTGTTTGTGTCCTTCACTCGTCTGCAGAAGCCATTAAACAATTCATTTTCAAAGGCATTGCTTCTCGGGTCTGAACCAAAGATGTTGATGCTGTTTAAACAGAGGAACATAACTAATGATTACAAAATGATAACAAGATGAGAAGTAAAATCCATAATTCCCCACATCGACTTATTTAGTTAACAGCTTTAGTAAACCCAGGAAGCCCAGGGCATAGATGCTATTCCATCAGGGAGCACATACTCAAACATTAGGTGCAATTCAGAGAAACCTAAGTGCATGTTGCAAATGTTAACCTTAACTGCATGCTTTTTAATTGTGGAAAGAACCTGAAGCAGTCATGGGTAGAACATGGAGAATTGTAATGTGCATAACAATCATCAAGAGGAGAGAATTTGAGAGAACTGCCACAAGGCAAGGGACAATGGACTTGGGAGTAGGCATGGTAATGAAATAGAAGGGGGTTTATTGCACTTAAAGAGCAAATTCAGGAAATAAACAGGATCGCAATGGATACAAAATGGGAGGACAGGAACAAGGGAAGGCTCTGGCAGCACACAGGTTTGATATCAGTGATGGGACTGGGGAAGACAGGACTGGGAAGCACTTTTATAGAAGATTGACAAGGAAGCAAATGAGAGGCATCTGGAGTGATTAACACAAGGGCAGGAACCAGAGATAAAACAAAGGAGTGCCAGGCGTGGCTTGTTAGGCCCATGCCAGGGAAGAGACAGGAAGGTCTGGTGGATGTGGCAGGCTGGACGTTACAGGAACTTACCCATATCCAGCTGTTCTACCCAGCTCAGATAGCTCCAGCTCCTGTTTTCCACAGGGTGCACGCTTAACTTCCTCACAGGTGTCTTCATCAGAGAAATCTCCACAATCATTGTCCCCATTGCATACTAGTCTATTTTTAATGCACAGTCCTTCAGTTAAAAGGATATAATAAACATAATTGTCTTTATATTATATGGATTTTTTTTATTGCAATCTGACGTTCATGCATCATACCAAACAACAATATGAAAGGCAAATTTTTATTAATAAAATATGGAAATGGGTGACTTCTATCAGAAAATTGTACAGTAGCTAGCTTCAATAGTAGCCGTTATTAATAAAATCAGATGATGCTTATCCCTGTGAACCGTGTTCAGTTGTAATGATTGTGTTCTCATTGTATTCAATTATAATAATCGTGGAAATATTGTAAAAATAATTTAATCTATAGTTCATATACCTATAAACTTTAAAAAGTGGGCAGTTTCAAAGCAGAAAGTAAAATAAGTAAAAGATCAGAAGATGGGGGTAAAAATATATGACAAGATTGGGATCCACCAAATTGGATAAGAGAAGCAAAGGATCTACCAAGACTCCAAGGGACATTCTAAGGGAGCCATGGGAGATTTCATTAAAAGAATGATGAATTTCTCCATGTTGCATTAATATCACATGCTTTCCCATCAAACTCCTCAGAGCGATGCATTCTTTCACTAATGTTTGGTAACCTGACTAGATAGCTAGGTGCTTGATTTTATACACCTGCAACAATGGGTCTGAATGAAACATTGAGATTCAATGATTAAGATGTTTGTCCCAATACTTTTGTCCATACAGTATAGGTCGGCGCTATTTTAGAGTAGAATATACCGCATATTCATTTATTTGGATTGACAGTTATTTGGATTGACAGTTAATGTACCTGAGTCACACTGAAATTCAGTTTCTGAACAAGGATGCTTTATTTCCTCCTCACAGACATGATCTGTCTTGCAGGCCTTCCGATCTCCTAGGCGCTGGTTGCATGGTTGGCCATTGAACTGCCCAAAAACATCTATGCTTCTGGAGCGGAACTTAAAACGGAGAAACCCAACTGGTTACATATTCCCATAATAATCATGGATTCTTTTTTTCCCAAAATACTCTGAATTTCACATGCTTTTTTACAATGATCTTGCACCTCTTAGGCTTCTAGGATGTCTGGTGAACAGTCATATGTTGCAACCACTCACCATACGTTTGGAACATGGATCACACCCGCTCCACTCGCTCCAGGGGCTTATTCTGCAGTCGACCGCAGCGGGGGCATTAGCTTCCCTCACCGTCCGTTTGCTGGTACTTCCACCACTGGATCAGAGACAAGGTCCACCGAGCCAGCACAATGAGTATAACTTATGCCTCTTATTTTTCTAATCATCATTCAATCATTTTTGGTAACCACAAAATTATTAAAAGTTTGGTAGTTATTTCAGCAATCTGTATGTGCTGTTGCGCAGTGTACGGCAAAGTCATACTCCTGGTCATTCCTGGTGCCAACGGTGATTTGTTGAAAAATGCAGAAGGAAACACAGAAAGCTGCTGCAGTCCTCATGATGGGGGCACAGAGTGTAATACCAGATAACCAGACTTGCGCTCCAATACTTTAACGAAACTGTCTATTAATGATTGCTTGGGGGGGGGGGGGGTGGCAGCTGCATATCAAAGTTCAGATGTGGAAATTTCTGACACAACTCAGTACTTTCCGAAAAATCACCTTTAATTTTCAGTATTAAGAGTTACAAATATTGCAATATAGGTGACAAGTGAGAATCAACAAAGATTTTATTGTAGCATAAAATAATGGCAGTGAGAGTGGATCAAAACTATCCTTTGTACTTAGTGCCTTTTTTGATGCTAAAGGTGAAGGTACTTTATGTGGAATCTTTACCATTTTGCAATGTGTGATTATTGAATCTCTTATCCTTTCAGTTCTCGTAACAATAAAACTTCACCCAAAGCTGATCACATTCCATTGAGTTTCACAAAGTATCTGAGATGAATATTTTGCCATCCCATGTACCAACAAACTGGAACAGTGGAAAAAATACATTTACCAAGAGACAGAATTGATTTCCTGCATTGTGAAGCGATAGGCCAAATTCTCTAAACTGAATAATAATGAGTATTAGTGATGCTTCTGTCATCTAGATATTGTAAATTCCTATTTGCTCATTGACAATAAAGTTCATTTTGAAATCTGTATATTATGCATTTTGTGATAAATTTAAAAATACCACTGAAACAGATGTAGTTTTCTCCACAATCACAAAAATCAAAGAATTGTCTTATATTTTCCAGATAAAGCGCAATTTCTAATTTATTATTCGTGTTTTTGGAATAATTGATTTGCCTTGATTTAAATGTTGAAATCCATTTAATATTTTTGTAATCAAAAACATATAGTGGAAGGTATTTCTATAGTTCTATAGATCATTATATTATTCAATGATTGTTCTCCCCTTTCTAAATTTCTCTGAGGAAGTTTAATTTAGTTTGTAATTTCACTGTACAATTCTTATTCATAAAAATAATTAGTGGGTTGGGAATAGACTTTCCTCATTAGTGGTTACAGGAAAAGCAACACAAATATTTAAATACATGCTGTAACCAACAAGTTTTGTAATCACTTTGCTTAAGAACAAGGTCCAACAGTCTCTAATCAGCACTCTATTTTTCCTTAAGCCTTTTTTCACAACAGAGGTGTGCATTATGATAAATGTTGCACTATTAGACATCATGAGTAAAAGCAATGATAGAACTTAAGAAAATTCTCCTAACTCTCCTGTTTTACTTGGGAATCATGCTGTAGAGCATGAATGTTCAGTTCACACTCGAGTACTGTAAGTGTCTGTAGCCCTGTGATTCTTACAATAAACTCCAGGCTATCCTGTACTTGATAAGTGGTTGTGTAAGTTGGTTAGATGGATAATTTTTAAAAAGTTATTGAGTTAATATCAGTAGAAGATGGATTAGAAAGAGACAAATCTGTTAATGAGATGTTTGAACCAACTATATACACTTATTGAGAGCATGAAGATGTGGAACAAGGAACTACATAATCATTGATTTAGCATATCACAATTCGTTGATAGTATAAAATGTTATTGGAATTATGTTAAAATATGTATGCTTTCTGAAAAATAATTAAACCATAACAGTGGCACTGTACCCACCCCCGGTGGTTAGTGAACGAATTAATACGCTATCAATTTTGACCGCAAAGGGTACTTCTGTTGTTATAAGACTCCACTTCAAGTATAAAAGATTCCACATGTCATTCCAGGAAATTTAAGGGTTTGTAGAAGTGTCGTAATGTTAATGATCTATTTAAATATTAGAGGTTACTGGTTATCTTCTCCTGTCAACAGTGAGAATCATACTCAGTAGATTAAAATTGGGAACCTGTGCTTTACCAACACATTTCACTAATGAACAGATATTCCATTAAGTTTGAACCCTTTATTGGTCGCTTAACTGTAGTCTAGTAATTTTCATTACACAGTACGAAAATATATCAGATGAGAAAACTCCTGTCCCTAATTTATAAGTATGGCAGACTTATGGTACAACAGCAATATGTGTATTATAAGACAATAACATGATCATTGAGAACATACATGTTATTCTTAATCTTGCACTGATGGACTGGTATCCCATCCAGACTATTTCCTTGCCTTGTGTCCTGTGGTTCCTGCTACGGGCCCTCTGTGACTCTGTACTGGATATGTATGGCTCGGTGTGGAAACCTAAAAAACTAATGTTAAAACCATTTGATTAAAACGTAAGCATCCAGTCACTGAACGGTTACTCCGTCGCTGATCTCTAATTTCTTTTTCCTCATTCCTTGCTCCTCCCGCTCATAGCATTCCTCACACTAGTCTGTCATTTATAATGACCCCGTCTTACCTTAGCACTAATGCTTTAATTGTTAATGTAACATTTTCTTGGCCATCTCCTCTGTTTCCAGTTTAAGATTGAGGATCTCTAATGAAAGCTCTCTGCTCAGATATACAGTTGCCATCTGCCCGGTTTTCCCGGGATTGTCCTTCTTTTAGAGCAACTGAAAAAAATGAATATTCTTTCCCGGAACATGAACTTTTTTTTTTTTGTTTGTTTGTTTTTTTTTTTTGCGAAAATGTACATCTCATTTAGAGTTTCATAGTTTCAAAGACAACCTCACTTGGTTTCCCTTTTCTGCTATTCTTTTTTTTTGCTGACTATGTTTATACATCCAGTCCTGTATCCGTAAAGGGTTAAAAACCGGTTAAGCGCTGCGACGATTGGCCATCTCTGTACTTTTATTTGATTGGTAGCAGAAACACTTATTTTATTGCGTAGTAGCTGCGCGGGCTGTCGGTCTGCTGCGCACATTCACGTCTATGAGCCCACTGTGACTTGTTAGCTAGAGGTAACGTCGGTTTAAGAAAAAACTTTCTATTTACTTTGTCGGTTTGTGAACTGGGGAGAGTGACGGGCGAGGATGACGACAAAACAATATCGACGAACTACCAGCGTCAAAGAAAAAAGCGATTTACAATGTACAACTTTCTGAACGGTTAAGAGCCAACCAAGGACACTTGGGGTGGGGTGGGGTGGGGTGGGGTGGGGGGTCCAAAAAGCAGAATTTCCCAGTTAGCTGGATAACTTAAGCAAAACGTGAAAACGGTCCATTAGGAGGAGAGGTAAGCGACCTTCATATGAGACAATCCTTACATTTGGTTTAAGATATCTGGCTAATGAAAAAGTACTGCTTTGTGGAATACACTCCTTTCCAATTCCCCGCCACTCATGTTTTGTGTCCAGCTAAAATTTCAGTTAAATAGGAAGCAAAAACAGCGCTGGAAAATCATGCAACAACAAACTAGCACCAGTCTTCCATTAAGCAAATTCAAAAATCTACCAATTGCAACTTTTGGTCAAAGCATAAGTTAGATTAAACTTTAAATTATCATGTTTGGGCTTTAACGTATTCATTGAGGGACAGCAGGGACGTCTGCAGGCAGCAAAACAGGATGAGAAATACACATGGAAAAGAGGTGAGAAATGTCAGTGTTAGGTTGTCCAAATTCATTAAGTTAAAAAGTTGTTTATAATGTATTATAATACATTTATAATACTGTAGCACCGGCAGGGGTCAGCATATTCTGGCATGCTCGTGAGCAATTGTAAATAGCCCCTGTCTGTAATTGTAAATAGCCCTTGTTGTATTGTTGTTTTTAATTGTTGCATTTCCCTATTGTGGCGCATGTGTTTGCCTGTGTCTTGTGTGCACCCTGTCTGATCCTCGCCTGTCCATAGCTTGTATAAATCTCCCACCCTGTGTGCCCCTTACAGTTTGGCGTCTGACCCCCTTGTGTTTCCACTGTGTGTATTTGGGTTCGATGCTCGTTGGGTGCCTGCTGCAGTCCTGTTCAGGACAATAAAAATAGCGTATTCTTTTGCGGGAAGCAAGTCTCCTCGTTCTTCACTGCTCTCGTGATTCCTCGGCCTGCCTGGGGTACATTGGTGTCAGGCGTGAGATGCTGGAAGCGATCCTGCTGGCACAGCTGGAGCGGGCGCTGTACAAGATCATCTGGCAAGCCTGTTCCACGCCTGGCGAGCCTCGAGACGGCTGAGACGCGGCAGCACGTGAGGAGGACGACTAGGGACACGAAGCTCGTCTGCTGGTGCTGCCAGACAGATGGGCACCAGGCACACCATTGCAGCATTGGCAGACAAGCAGGGGACTCTGGAGCAAGGAAAGCACCCTCCGCTCCATCCAAGACGCACTGGCACAGCCTGCCCTGAAGCCGTTTCTGCCGGCCCGTCGGACTTGCGTCTAAGACAGCGACATTGTCAAGCTGGAGACCATGGAGCAGGAGTGATGGGAGATGGAGTGGCTGCGTGTTGAGCTGGCCAGCTGGGACCAGGAGCGTGACTGCAAGGCGTGCTTGGCTGAGGCAACGGAGGCTGCATTACGGGGTCATGAGACAGTGAGGCGGAGGACGGGAGGAGGCATGTCACAGTTAGAAACCCAGCTGGCCGAGAAGCACCACGAGCTGCTGGAGGTGGAGGCACAGCACATGCAGGAAATCTGCGAGTGGTGCGAGGAGGAGGCCTGCTTGGCCCACCTCTGAGAGACTATCCACCTGGAGCACGAGCAGTTGTGTAGGGCCGCCCGACTCTGTGAGCAGGAGCCCCCGTGGCAGGACCTGCCTGCTGCACAATGTCAGGGCCCCACCCAGTGGAGGAGGAGAAAGAGGGGCCAGGAGGAAGCCGCAATAGAACGTGACCGCAGCCAGCCCATGTGCTGGCTATCCCCGGAGAAGGGGGTGTGGATGTGGGAGTCGATGGGTCCCGGCCAGGGAAACCCCTTGGAAGAGGCATTAGGTCCCCTTAAGAGGAAGGGTTGGCACCGGGGGGGGACCTGCTGTGGCAGCGCTTGCCAGCAGCTGAGCCTCGCCGTTGCCCGCAAGATCGGGAGGTGACGTCCTTCCCCTTTCTTCATTGGAGGCTGCCATTGGACCCCTGGGACTTGGTGGGGACTGGGGGTGGTGGTCACTGGGACAGTTGACCTTTGAGGGGAGGGCAGTGTAGCACCGACGGAGGTCAGCATATCCTAGCATGCCCACAGGCAATTGTAAATAGCCCCTGTCTGTAATTGTAAATAGCCCATGTTGTATTGTTGTTGTTGTTGTTAATGGTTGCATTTCCCTATTGTTGCGCACGTGTTTGCCCATGTCTTATGTTTCCGCTGTGTGTATTTGGGTTTGGTGCTCATTGGGTGCCTGCTGCAGTCCTGTTCAGGAAAAAGCATGTTCTGTTCCGGCAAGCAAGTCTCCTCGTTCTTCGCTGATCTCACAATGCCTTGGTCCACCCAGTGCTACAATACGTTTTATTATAATATGTATTTATTGCTAAAGGGAGTATACCTTTGGACATATCTGGACAAGTTTTTATAATAGATTAAAATTAGACAGTATAGATTTACTTGTCAAAGTGAAAAATCTGTATTTAACATAGAAAGGGACAGCAACAGACAAAGGTGGCCAGCATGAGTGCAACTGTGTCTGCGTCAGGACAAATATAGGTAAAAGAGGCAACTGAGGTTCCTACCTCTAACATAGTATATTTACAAAAAATGGCCGAAAGAATGGCCGAGTGCCTTGGTTTTTCACAAATCAAAGGTCGCAATCTTACTCAGATATGACTACCATCTTATTTTCTATATCAGTGGTTCAGATCCTTGGTATTAGTGGAAAATGCACGCACGTGTTTAGTTTACCTGTGCTCTTCAAGACTCATTTAAGAGCTATGAAAAGCTGTACACCATCCATGGTTTTGACTCAGACATTGTAATCTAAATAATGATTGGTGAAATGTATTCTCCTTTTTCAATCCTCCTTTTGCTGAAATACATTCAAAAGGGCTTTCTTTGAAAGGAAAGTTGACAGCACCCTTATTCTCTGTTTAAGTGTTACTTTTCTTAATTTTTTTAACCATTCAACCCAGTCCACCCATCCACCCACATATCTTCTGGAATCACTTCTCCTATTACAGGAAGCGTATGGTATGAGTGTTACAACCCCAGTCATAGTTGTTTTGCAGATCTGGTCTTCCTAGCTGGTTGGGTATGTCTATAGGTATGTCTTTGTATTCCTGATCCTGCCCACCACTACATCAGCATTCCTCTCTTTCCCAATTGGCTGATTCCCAACATACACTTCCTTTTATAGAAGACCTGCCAAGCACTGAAGTGAGAGGCCATTACTTTGAATTTGTCTCATTCTCTGTTGCTGTAAACTTCTCTGCGATCAACCATAAGTGTTTGACCATTTTGATTATGCTGAACCCTCATGTATTTGATTGCTTAGCTCTTTTCTGTAAATATCCATCCATTTTCCAAACCGCTTATCCTACTGGGTTGTGGGGAGTCCAGAGCCTATCCCAGAAGCTATGGGCACAAGGTGGGGAACAACCTAGGATGGAGGGGCAGCCCATTGCAGGGCACACTCACACACCATTCACATCTATGGACAATTTTAGTAATTAGCCTCAGCATGTGTTTGGACTGTGGGGGGAAACCAGAGTACCCAGAGGAAACCCCATGACAAGGGGAGAACATGGAGACCCAGAGGTGTGAGGCAACAGTGCTAACCACTGCACCACCATGCAACCCCTTTTCTATAAATAGCATGTATATATTTGTAAATATTGTATATACTTTGTAGCTAGAAAGTAGGGATTGCAACAGAATTCAGTATGATTTATTTTCTCCCTGTTTATGTTAAGATATGGAGTTAGGGAACTTTTGTGTATTTTTATATCGCCTTTCAAAGAGGGAAACAAAGCAATGGTCTTGTTACACTTCTGGACCTACATGAGGATGTAACGTGTAGGCTAGTAACACACAATCACAGATTAAGGACAATTTAGAGACACCAATTCACCTAATTTCATGCGTTTGCACTGGAAAATCAAGAATCTGGAGTAAAACCACTGAAACGTGGAAAGAACATTTGCCTCTGAATCACCATGTGTCCCCATTCAACAATAATTAAGATAATTTCACTTTGAAAGCTCTCTCAAGCCTGACTATGAAACTGCTTCAAACACAACTGGAAGAGAGCTAGAACAGCACACAATGGGGGAAGCATGTATTATGATATAATGCTTGTTCCTGAGTGGTGTGTGGCTTTGTGGTTTAGGACTCTGTACTCATAATCAGAAGGTTAGCTATTCAAATCTCATGACTGGTAAAGTGATTTCACCATTGGGCCCTTGAATGAGGCCCTTAACTCCAATTGCTTCAGGGATTAGCTCACCCTGCTTCCTCAGTTGTATGTCACTTTGAATAAACGCATCTGCTAAATTAATGTACTTTGTTCGTATTTTTCCTCAGCAGTATCCCAAGAACCCCTGCATTCCTCCTGATGATCATAGCTTAGCTTCTGGCAACATTATTGTAGAATGGAAGTGCTGTAGATCTTTCAAAATGTTGCTGCCAGACTAGCTTTATATGACTAGCTGTATCCTCCTAAGGTTTGCCCACCCTCTCTGGCGGCCATTCAAATAGAGCTGTCCAGACCAGACATGTGAGGAGATGGGTGGCCTATCAGCTTTTTTTCTGCTGTCAAAAAATGTTCCAGAAGTAAACACAGCAGTGGTTTCATTTGCACCACCAGCAAGCAAGGAGTGAGTCATGGGGGAAATGAAGAACAAGTGAGAACAGTGAGAACTAGCGCAGCTGTGAGTTTTTGGGTTCAATTTTAGTATCTGCTCAGTTGACACATCCTGTTTTTATTAAACCTTTTTTTTTTTTTTTTGCATAACGTGCTTTTATAAAATTATTTAATCATTTGTCTTGCTACACCAAGCCTAAACAGAGGCTTATTACTAAGATATGCTACATTTGTATGTGTTGGGAAGTTGTAATTATAATCTCCTTTTCTCCTGTATGACAGGAAATAAAAGGTGAATGAGTGCTGCTAGATGCAGAATTGCAGAAAAACATGTTTTTTTTTTGCTTCAGTTTGTCACCTTGTAATAGCTTGACATGAGTAACAAAAACATTATGCTAATGTATAAAAATAGCTACTGAAAACATTTATAAAGATCATTAAATCTTCTTTTGGTTTTAGTCATTGAAATTCAAATATGAGTAAATTGTTTGGGTCCCAAAAGGATAAAATGTTTGTGTTTAAGCTCCCAGACATTTATGCTGAATTAACAGTAAATGGTCCTTTAAACAAAACATATGTCAAACATGTTTGGGCTGCCAGAATGAACAATATGGACAATGACCTTCCCTGACCTTCCCTTGACCTTTGCTTTGTTTCATACAAAAAAGTGCCAAAGTCACAAAAAACCACTGATACTCTTGGTAAATATTGTATCCAATAGGGGATTAAGTGCTGATGTCACTTTTTTTGCACTTCAGCTTCCTCCAGGCATGTCCAGGAAGAGCAAGGGAAAGTAATGTGCTGTCTCAGTCAATGTTACATTTCTCATGAAAGATTTCCTGTTTTTTTGCACTGAACTTTTGAAACACAGTTGGAAAATCATTCTACATTCCATGCTGATGGGATATGGATGACAGAAACCTCACAGACAATGGTAATTACATTATTTAGCAAAAAAAAATTATGATTAATTTTTTTAAAATTTTATAATTAAATTATGTGCAGCTCTTGAACGCCTTCCCTTTAAATAAGAAATACATACAGTGTTACCTTTACTATAAAATATTCCTTAACTCTGTTGAGAGACTAGTGGAGAGATAAGGGAGGGAGATTTTTTCCTTGAAATCTTATCCATGAAAATATTTATGTCGGCATGAAAAGATACAGAGAACAGGACAGAAATGCCATCCTCTTCTAATACAATATTGTGCAAAATTTGCAGGCATCAAAAGCTATTTATCTTGGTAGTAAATTTATATGTGCTGAAAAACACAATTTAATATTAGAACGTATGCAACATAAGAGTAACAATAAAAACTTACACCAACATTTAAACATCATTTTCTATGACTACGTAACTTTCTCACAGAATTGTATCTTGTATTATTGTGTTCATTGTGGCTCTCCTATTTGATATCAGACTGCCATTTGCTTTCTTCTTCCTCCAAAGGTATAGCTAAGGCCTTTTCTAATACACTACTTCTCAGATGGTGACTTTGGAGGTTTACAGTATCGGTAGCACCAACAGCCAGGCTGGTGTTTCTGTTACTGTTACTAACCTGGCAAGCAGCTAAGGTAGCTTAAACCTGCTTTGCTTGGTGCTTTCAGCTCAATGCTAGTTACTTGGTTGTGGTGCAAAAGAGCAGGAATATCATGTGATTTCCTTGAAATTACAGAGCAAGGATATATCATGGTATTCCTCTTTAAACCAAAGTGACTAGCACTAGTTCTGTTTGATTAAATCCATCAAATTAATCAAAAGTGCAACACTGATGTGATTCTCATGGGATACACTGTGCAATGGCCAACTGGTTTTTTAATGAACTAAAGTGGAGGTATCTGTTGTCATTTGCCACACAAGGAAATATGAAGTCTGAAATTGAAATTACCGTGGTTGGAACAAGTGGTTTTGAGGCAGAGGCTTTATATGTTTTACCATTGGAAGTATGGCTTCAATATGTGCTTGGAGAAGTTCAATTAGTCTTCTAGAGCCAAAGGAAGGTTTATGACAGATGTAATGATTGAGATTTAATTAAGGGTGATGCAGAGTTTACTAAAAGAGTAAAGCAAAGGTCATAAATCCCTGCAGGATGGCATTAAATAGCATAAACTGCAAAATCCCACGTGGGTCAAATTATATGGCTTATCCAAATGTCTTGCTGCCATTAGTGGCTAAATTAGTTAAGTGTGGTAGGAATCAGACAGTGGTTGACAGTATCAAAAGGTAGAGACACAAGAATATTGCTTGAACTGTATCTGCCGTGATATATGTTTCTTTGGATAAAAGTCGCTTCTAAAAAATATGTTATATAATACAGACGCTCTTCTACTTATGAACTTTCAGACATACGAATGAAGAGGACTGTAAGTCCAAATTGTGTTCATTGGGCTCCCGTTTCCTGTCCGCAACAGAATTTTTTTTTTCTGCGCGCCAATTCCTGGTAGTACGACTTCTGGCCGCTACTCCCGCCGCGCAGCAGCGTAGCGTGCGTACTCCCAGCATCCTAGTTCTTTGTACTTGCGTATACCCTTAAAATGGTGTTGAATAATGACATACGAACATTTCAAGTTACGAACGGCCATTCAGAACTTATCTCTCGTAATTAGAAGAGCGTCTGTATTTAAGTGTACAATCCAGCAAACGGGTACATTACGCAAAAAATAAATACAACAGAGGTGCCAAGCTTTCACCATTGGGCCTGGTTATTTGTTGCAGGATAAACCTGGCCCTAGTGTAATACTGAAATAACAGAAACTAGAAAAAGAACAAATAAAAATTGTTTGTTGACCAACAGAAGGACATTATCTATCCTACACAATATAGGTTTTGTGTCATTTTAATTGTTAAAATGACATGCAGTTATGTATGGCTCCAATGAATCAAAGTTATGGATGGATAGATTTAGCCTCAGAGTAAAGTTACCAGCACATAGAATGTAGAAGCACCTTGAAATTATGATCAAATGGAATTCCCCAAGACATCACAAAAAATATATTGTTGTTATCTTTCTGGATATGGCCAGACATTTTAACCATTTCTTACCCCAGATGGAGAAAGTTTGTGAATCTTGTTATGAGTGTTCTTCAGCCAAGATTAAGGCTTGAAATGGTCCAAATATTATAAAGAAAATCATCCAAGAATCTGCAGATGTTTTTTGTCCCAGCTGAGGTCAGGGCGCATAAGTACTATGAGGAAAAAACTGTGGAGAAGAATGTGGATATGTGGCAAAATAAAAATCACTGCTTAAACAGTTAAACCTTATGCTAAACTTTATGTTCTACAAAGTCTAGTAGAAACGAAACAGTTTTGCAATAACAATCTCATATTAACAGCCTAGCAACTTACTAGCCTAGCAGCCTTAGCAATACTGTGTCATAGTTAGATCTGTGTTGTGGCAGTACTTGAAACGAGTAGCATATGCTTATAAACTCTCTAATATTACTTATTTAATGCAATTCAGCACAGAGGAGTTGGACAAAATTCTTCCACGGAACTATGAAATTACTGGAAGTGTTAAACTGAAATTGTTTCTACCGAAACTAGTTATTGTGTTTAAGAGGGTGCATGTACATGGGAGCACTGGGTAAAAATTTTTTTTAATTGTATCAATCCATCCATCCATCCAATGAGAAATTGAAAATGCATAGATGTCACAGTAGCACAGTGGTTAGCACTCAGGATTCAAATCTCGTCCATGGCTCCATATGTGTGCATGTCCTCCCCGTGTTGTTGTGGGGACTCTAATTTGCATCCACAGTCCAAAAATATGCTGAGTTACCGAATTGCCCATAGGTGTCAGTGTGTGAATGAATGGTATGACTGTGCCCTACGATGGGTTGGTGTCCCATCCTGGGTTGTTCCCTGCCTTGTGCCCTGCGATGGGTTGGTGCCCCATCCTGGGTTCTTCCCTGCCTTGTGCCCTGCGATGGGTTGGTGCCCCATCCTGGGTTGTTCCCTGCCTTGCGCCTATAGGCTCCAGACCCCCTCCCCCTCTGAATAGGACACGGGTTTACAGATAATGGATGGACAGTCCTTCACATAAAGGCCAAATTAGTTTTCATGGCATTGCATGTATATAATTATATTATTCAATTATTTATCTTCAGCTGAGCCAGGAAACTTCAGTACTACTTCAATGGTCCTTTTAATGCACAGACATAACTAATTAATACCTAATGATGAGATTGGAATTCCTGGAGACTTTTTCTGAGAGTGTTAATAACAGATTGTGCAATTTCCTATATAAAAAATGTGTTGTGAAATACATGGAGAAAGAAGAGTGGAATGAACACAATGTGCAGTTCCACAGCTAGCCGCTGTGGGGGAAGGACGGCTTCATACATAATATTAAATGTTTGGTTGCATTTAGCATGGAAGCAAAGAGCCATCAGTGGAGATTGTGGCTGAAACGGTGGATTTACTGTGAACTTCTTGCCTCTTCAGATACGTTCTGTTGAAGGTGCTCAAGAAATTTTGACCTCTCTTTCTTGGGCTTTCTGTTAACATGGTTGCGAACCTTAAACATGGGCTATCATTTGAATGGGGTGCCAAGAACACTGTAATTTTACAGAGTACTTTACTAGATAGCAAAGTTTAAGTTGAAGAAACCGTGTATTTTTGTGGAACTTTATGTCTGTTATATATTTGGCATGGATCACCAAAAGATGCTATCATTTTATGTATGTTAGCAGCTGGAAAATATATAAAAAATGATGTAGCTATTCCTAGAGTGATCAAGTATTTTTAGTTGACTGGAACTGCCAGGAAAAACCAGCAAATAAAAATGGCAGCTTGTGAACAATACTGCAAGTGCACTATCATTTGCAAGAGCATTCACCATTGGTCTAAATAAAGCAGGGGCTCACTCAGAAGACAGCTGCAGTAATTGTGGACTTATATGGGGAGGCCAACTATACCCAGCTTCTGCTGCTGGAAATGGAAGATGAGACAACCCACACTTTTTTCCATTCCATTTCATTTTAGGCTGGTAGAGATAATAACTGAATTCTGTCTTTTGGGGGATTTTTTTTGGTATTCAAGGGCCACAATGTATTACTGTGGAGTCATTCATTTTTGTGAGAGATAGCATTGATTGCAATTCATCTTCCTTAAACTTTGTAGTCATACTGCATGGGCTGGATTTGGTTTTAAATGAGATGATATCCGTGCCATATGAAGATATGTTTGTACAATTTAAATAGCTTAAATTTAGTTAGATTTTTTATAGTTTCATAAGTTGCTGAGCAAGGTCCTTAACCTCAGTTACTCCAGGGACTGTCTGATGCTGCCTACTCAACAAATGTTCGTTGCTTCGGATAAAAGTGCCTGATAAATAAATAAAATGTAAATTTGCCCCAAACATGCAATGCTCCATCCAGTGCTTAGAATGAATTGGTGGTATTATTGTGAGAATAATGTTGAGATGCAGAGTGTAGGATAAATGACAAGGCCACAGCACCTGAATGCAGAGGGGCACTCTGTTTCCTTCTGTATAATAAGCAGTGTCAGCAAAGTAGGGAAATTTTCTAACAGGAAGGAAGAGCCGTTCAGCACGGCTTTGTTCCAAGGCTAACGAGGCAAAAACACATATCCTCTCCACCTCGCACACTGGGACTGTCATTATCTTCTCCTGACAACAAAACCACACAGATTTTCACTTTGTAAATGATGTGTTTAAGGATTAATTTATCTCTGCTTTTAAGGGCACACCACTGTTTTTGTCTTGGTACATGAATGCAGTGAGATACACACTAGTATTTCAGTCTGTCATTAAGTGGTTCTTTTGGCAGATTTCAACTGAAATGGGAAAGGCTTTATTAAATCTGCTGTAGACATATAAACATATAATCATTTATGAATTAAAAAAACAACTGTTTCCAAAATATCCATTAATCTACTATAACCACTCATCCAGGTGAGGACTGTGTGGGGGCCTGTGTGGGGGCCTGGAGCCTGTCCCAGCTAACAGAAGGCTGGAGGACACCATGGATGAGATGCTAGTCCCTCTCAGGAAAAACACATGCACACTTCGTAATACTCTAAGGGCAATTTAGAGGCACAAAATAGCTGAACTGCATCCTTTTGAACTGCGGGAGGGTACTGGAAGACGCAGAGGGAACCCGTACAACAGGAGGAGGACTGTCAGACTCCACACAAACTTCACACACGATCTTGGTAGTATCAGAAAACATTGTTACCCACTCTGCCACCAAGCTGCCTCCAATGAGAAACTAGCTATATAAAATTCTAGGAAATTCCCAATCAAATTAAACAAATGAAGGTTAAATATTACTTGGGCTGGGGTGTGATATGGTAACTTAATAAATAGTACATTTGTCTCTTTTAACCGGGGCTGGAGGTTTGAATCCTGCTCTTGCATTATGGGATTCATGTGTTGTTCATGTATTCTCACATAGTTCAAAGGCATTACAGTAGGTAAACTAGTCTCTCCAATAAGTCTAGACCAGGGGTGCCCAACTCCAGTCCTGGAGGGCCGGAGCCCTGTGTAGCTTATTTCTCCAGGACTGAAGTTGGGCACCCCTGGTCTAGAGTGTGTGTTGTGTGTGTGTGATACCAAATGTCCCCCACAATGTAATAAAAACCTGTTATTTTGACAGTATGGGGACCATTTTTTGTTCCCTTACATCAGGGGTGGCCAATCTTATCTGTAAAGGGTCGCTGTGTATGCGGGTTTTCGCTGCAGCTCCCTAATTATATTACTAATTAGAGGACTGATTGACTGAGGAGTCCTCACACCTGGGTTTGAACAGCTGACCTACATGTTATCCCAAAAACCTGCATACGCACCGGCCCTTTGTGGATAAGATTGGCCACCGCTGCCTTACATGCTTACATGTTCACGGAATGACAATAAACCTCTTGAATAATAATAATTATTATTATTATTAGTCATTAATTAATAATAACCATTATCATTAACTAATTAATTAATTATAACGATGACAACAACAACAACAATAATAATAATAATAATAATTATTATTATTATTATTTTATTATTATAGTAACAAACAAATAGGGCACATGAACAGGACAGGGATCCATTGCAGCGTTCCTTGTCATGGCCAATGGGGGTTGGAGTTTCCCGTCGCAATTATAGAAAAGGTATTTGTGAGCCGAGCAGTCGTGGCGCTAGGGGGGGTTAAAAGTCTGAAATAGCAGCAAGTCAACACTGCGGGAGGAGTAACCCGGTCCAAGGCAGCGTAGCAGAATCCAGGTCACCCTCCGACTATCCTATGAATATCTGATTAGACGCATTTCGGAGAGGCTGGGAGCTGGTTTGTAAGCAGGGTACGGACGGGAAACGAGCCGACCTGACCTCTCATTTTCACCTTGCCTGCCGGCCGGGAAAATATTCAGGAATTATGTGCCGCTTCAAGCCTTATGACGGTAAGCGTGCTCTGTTGCATGTATTACTTTATTAATCAGTGTTTTGTAGTAGGTAATTGTTTTTATTAGTTAAGATCACAACGCCGGACAATCGATGTCCGCTTTTGCCATGGCAAAGTAAAAAACGATTTAAAAAATGCCGCACGTATCTTCGTTTTGTTGATTAACTGCGGTGTGGCTGGCTTCTTTCGAGACAGCGTAATTTATCGCTTAAAGGACGCTGGAAACAGTCTTATTCGAAACAAAGTATCTGAAAGGATTACGCGTTATTACACAACTTGTGTAATCCGTTACTTTCTGGGTATAGTAAAGTTTGCGCAGGTAATGGGTGAGTTTTAATGGGCTGTCTTTTAACCCTTCCGTTGTAGTTTTCGTTATACTAAAATAAAGTTTCTTTGTTGGCATCCAGTAAATTCAATAATTTTAGTATGAATTACACCAATTCCTGAAAGATTTAAAGACTTTAATCATATTGTATGGTTGTCAGTGATTGAATGGAACAAAATATGCGTCTATACCGCTATCCAACATCGGAAAAGCAGCTAAGGAAAATCATATCATTTGTGTGTGATTGTTATTTTTGAGACTTGAGGCTTGTTCGAAGCTTCTTTTGTGCGGTCAGATAAGTTGTAACGTTGGATCTGTCATGTTGATTATTTGCATTACCGTCTCTGCTGTGTATGAAATACTTTTATTTGGAAACGCAGGATTTTAACAACATAAAACTTGTTTGTTATGCGTCCGAGCATTTAATTTCAGGCATTAAAAAGTAGGCTTGCCGTTGTGAAAAAATGAACTACCTTTGTTTATCAGTTTTTCAAAACGACGCTGATGGTTAAATACACGTGGAATGGCCTTTTCTTAAAGATGAAATACTTTTGATTAACTACAAGCAAACCAAGGAAATAGCAGGCCTATCGAAGTGTGGTTGAGTGTAATTAGGACAGCATTTGTTAATGGCCCAAACGTGAAGAATAAATTGCTGGTCCAGTCCCCGGAAAACTATCAGTCTTCGCAACTGACACCCTAATTCTGAATGTTAAATGTTTTGCTGTATAAATCGGTAGCTGCAACATAGCTTTACGATCTAATAACAATATACGCTAAAATACGCTCGGTGACATTTGATGAGACATCACTCAATTTCTACAGGGGCTGTGTATGGTTCTCTGTCGATCAGTATTTCTCATGTAAGAACTCGTACATGTTTTATTTTTTTCTGCACTTTGATAAACAGGAAAACAGTTGTATATGGAATGGTCTTAATCTGTTGGAGGGTTGGAAATCCTCTAACTGCTTTTAGTCAGGATTAAAGTGAGTCATATTTGTTTAGCCAGCTTGTACTTCTAATGAGATGGTTAACTATTCAGGCTCTCATTAGTTTTAACCTTTCTGTCTGCAGCTCTATATTTTTATTACACAAACACGTTTACATTCATAGCTTTGTGGGGGTTGTCCATTCATTTCTAAGGCATAACCCTAATCCAAACAATGACAACCTTAACCCCTATACCCAGCTAACCTCAACCATAAATAACAAAACAAAATACAAGATTATTGGCATTTCTAGTTTTTTGATCGCAGTCACATATTTTGATAATGAGTTTCCCCTTGAGGGGACCAAAAAAGTGGTCCCCACAATGTTTATTTTTATTTATTTATTTATTTATTTATTTGTCCTCTCACACACTCGTGTGCATTTATAGTGCAGAGACTTTATGATTCACCTTTTAACTGGTGGCTGCCTTTAGCCAGAATGTACAATGTGTTCAGCCCTTAGGAATGTTATTCATCTTGACTTTAAAGTCACTTTTATTCCTCCCAATTGCAGTATGCCCTTAGGCCTAATATTAATGATATTGTGTGTGTATATATTTGCAGCACACATTGTATTGGATTAATACTGCCATGGCTTTTGTTATTGTTGTCTGTGAAGTATGGAATGCAATTTTTGCATGTAGTAATGGCTGTAGTGCATGTATTGCTCTTCAGTTTTGGCAGAAAGTGCATTCCTGAAGTGACCCAGTGTTCCTTTATGGGGGGTGAGGGCAGGAGACTTGGAAGACTTGTTACTGTTTTATCTTCCAAACTGGTTAACTGAAGGAATAGTTTCTTTTTTTTTAATGTTGCTGACATATGGGTAATGGGGCAAAGTCAACCTGCTTCAGTATCTTAAAGTTACTAAACAACCGCATCTGTGTTAAGTTGTCATTTGATTGTAGTTTTATGTGTGAGAATATTCTTGGAGTAAATTTGAGGCTTCTACGCCATGGTTACATGTATGAGGCAGTATTTCCCAGCTTGGCTTTATTGGAAGCAGATGTTCACAGTGCTTGCCACAGTATCCTGCAGTCTTTAGCTTTGCTTTTCAGCCCTATCTGTTCAAGATTGTTGTGTTTTTGTGCCACCTAGAGTTCCATTTTGGTGTCTGTTTCTGTATTCTTTAAATGCATAACCTCTGCTGTTGGCTCTTGTGATGGTTCAAACTGTATAAAATAGAACAAATGCTTGTTTTAAGCTACTTTTCCCCTCTTGCATGTATTTCCAGCAGTCAGAATTCAAAGTACTTGTACATCGCTATTATTATCACACAACAGGTACATTCAATTAAATAAAATGTTTAGATACATTTATGCAGCATTATGACTGTAACTACGTCTTTGCATCTTTAAGCACCCTTTTAGCTTCAACCCATCCCCCCCCCCCCAAAAAAAAAAACCCAAAAAACCGTAGCATTAAAAGAATGACTTGGCACTCGTTCACGTAATGGTGGTGAATCTTTCTCCTGTTCAAATTCCTGGGAAAGATGATTTTTTATTTATATTAATTTTTTTTTTCTTCTTTTTTTTGTCCACCCCCCCAACACCAAGAGTAAACCTTCAAGCTATGTGCTCAAAATGTTTAAAAGTCTCAGGAGACTTAAAGCATGGCCTAGTTCCCTCCATTACCCGTGTTCTGGATTGTAGCTGATTGAAAGGCTGCTGTATGCTCTTTCCATTGTAGGATCTAGAGAATCTTGTGGATCCTGTACTGTGAGCTTGCTGGACATGTAGACACACAGCTATTCACACTCCTGGACATATTATTGGAAATATGAACTACCTGAATTTTGCTTTTTGGTCATGTGCTTTAACTAACTTTGTTTTTCCTCCTTCCTGTTTGGGATTTTTATAAATTTGAGGGCTGACTTATAAGGTGCAGCCTCCCTGATTAGAGACATTGTAAAACTTCTATAATCGCTCTAAAGCCTGAAATGGGGGGGGGGGAGAATATAAGCAGTGCAGTGTTCTTGAATGTATGGTTTTTAATAGTTTGAATTACAGCATGTACTGTATTGTTTGTCCTGGTAGAGGTAATGTTGTAGTGCTTATATTGTGCTTTGTACAGTAATCGTATATCGTTTTTCATGCTATTTCCCAATTATTCTGACGAGCATGGCAGAAGAATGTGTACCATTGTACGAGTTGGCTTGAAAAGAACAGGTGCTCAAAAACGTCTGTTCATGGATGTAAGCCCTCTGGTCAAACATTGATAGACAGTTCAAAGGTAGGAGAGGTGTTTTGCTGATGGGATGATATATCATTGTTTTATGTCAATGCAATGATGTGCTTTTCTAGAAAAAAATGGAAAAAGTGTGTGGTTGTTTCATTTAACAGGCAAGGCTACGAATGGACTGCAATGCCATATGATGCCTAATTAGACACAGTAGCTATATGTACCACCAGCCAAAGATTAACTAGGTCGGTTTAATCTTTAAATATGGCACTTCTGCATGCGAGACTGCTATCAAAGCAGAATTGAATTTTACAGGTTTATTATATTTTATGGCTTCTTGTGATTTGAGACACCTAACCTTGTGCGTTGGACACCCATACTGGTGTGTATGTATATGTGCTGCTTTTCCCCCAGTACTTGAAATGCAGATAATATTTGAAGCTGTTTGCTGCCTTAAAGGAGGATTTTATCAAGCTTCGTCATACAAATTAATTTGCCAGTAACCTTCATTTGTCTGGTGATTGCTGACACCTGCCGTTAAACGCATTTGTTCTGGATCGGTCAGGTCTGCCGTGCTCATGTCCTCCAGCCATGCGTACTGGCTTGTGCTGGTTGGACGGAGTTGTGGAGAGGAGGAAAAAGCCCTCCCTCCCACTCTCTGGAGGCCTGAGTTCTGGCACTGTGCTGTAAGACCATAGCTCTGCCCAGGGAAGCTGGAAAGAACTCGTTTGAAGTTCACATTTTGCATTTAACTCGCTGCCAGTTATGGCCTGTGACAGAGGACGGCACCAAAGCCAGGGTGATGTGAACCCTCCTTTTTAATAGTTTCCCAGTACAGGAACATGGGGTTTTCTTGCCATTTAGCTTGAACAGACTCCCTCACTAGGCATTTTTAATGATGAAGAGCAGTATTGTTAGAGTGGGGATGTGGTATGTGGTTACAGTGCTATTTATGCAAAATGTATATCTGTTGGATGGGGGCATTGAGGGTTCAGCTTGGAATTGGACTTTTCCTGTTCGTGTTCTTGAGCAAAATGTACGTTTACTGTTTGAAAGGCACACAGTCATCCCATAGGACTAGGAATGCTTGGAAGATTGAAGGAGCAGTTACTGTAGCTCCTTGAATTTGTGTGGGGAATTTATTACTTAATTTTTCCTGGAACTCTGGCGTAATATCCTGTCTGACCTCTGCAGGGTGTTTTGGAAGCAATCTGTGAGGTACTGTGGGTAAAACTGTTACATTCACTGTTTATTTTGCCCATTTTCCTCAAAAGACTGAAAGAAAATGGATAGTTTTCAGATGTACAAGGATTTTTCTAGAAGAATACTTCTAATTCTTTTGAAATTATGTATTATGGCTTAAATGGGTGACTACAAGTTCAGGGTTTACTGCTGCCATCTTAATCCACAGTCCTATAGATGCTACCTAATGGGACATTTTCAATGAACTCCAAGGCATTAGCGATTTATAAAATATCTGTCACTCTTTGTTTCATCCTCATTTTTCTTTCAATTAGTATTTGTCCTTGTTGAGTTCTATTCTTTGTTTTTCTGGTATTCTTTTGGTAAATGTCTGATCTGCACCAAAAGTATTATGGGGGAAAAATGTCATTTGCCTACTTGTCCATAATGCTCCCTTTTTGGAAGTTAATATTAACATGAGTACAGGCCCATTATACTCCTGTTGACCTTCTCTTGAACAAATGAGTAATGGGTAATGTTAAAACCCTAGTTTAACAACTCAGGATTTTATTTCCATTTAAATCATGGCTGATACTTTTTTGTGAGCCTTATGACCTTAAAAATACTTTTTATATACATCTGCAAAACCAAATTTTAAAGGGGATTTTTGGGAGGAAAGTAAACAAACAGGCACTTCGTTTCAAAAAAGCATTAAATTTTGCGAGACCTTAAAGGCATATTGTAGCTCCTGAGCATGCTGGGAAAATGTAAATAGCCCTTTTTGATTGTGTTATTGTTAATTGTTGTTGTGTTCTCAGTTGTCATGTGTGAACCCTGTCCGATCTTCGTGAGTCTTTAGCCTCACCATCCATCGTCAGACCTCCCTGCGTTTCCTGTTATGTGTTTTTGGTGGATGTTTAATGCCTGTGTTAGTCCATTTAAGGGCTTAATAAAAGGGTGGTGTTTTTCCTTAAAGTGAGCCTACTCACTTCTCGCCGGGCCTTGGTGTGCATGACATTATCGTGTGTGTTTCTCCATGTTAGTTTTTAATGACACCCAAGTGTGTGTGTGTGTGTGTGTGTGTGTGTGTGTGTGTGTGTGTGTGTTCCTGAATGTTCAATACAGACATTCTTAGGTTAAATGTTATTTATATTAGCATGCACACCTCCCTCCTTTCTGGTTTCTGCTGCTGAGTTTCCTGTTTAAAGTAGCAGAGATGGCAAAATTCTCTATGGGAGATGGGTGAAATTGTCACCTACCACTTGTGATCTCACTGCTGGGGAAAAAAGATGGGTTGTGTACATAAAATGTATAAAATGGATGTGTAGTGTAACTTTTTCACAGTATGGTTAACCATAAGTGTCAGGTCTAAGGTACTGTTTTAAACACTATTGTTTTCAAGTTTCTTTTGGCTTATGATTCCTTGTAATTAAATGTTTATGCTGGTCCTTCAAAAACACGCATCTCTGAATTTTAACTGAGCTCTAACTGCAAAACTGCTGAGATGTTTGCATTTTTGATCAAGTGTCAAAACTGAATTTAGTTTTGTTCGTGCTGAAGTCAATGTTTTCTAGTGAAATGTTAAATCAGTTTTATAAACATCTGTGACTTTAAAGATAATGTGAAAATAACTTGTCACAAGATCTCTCTGAGGATGCACTTGCTACCAAAATTATTAACTTTTTGGTGGCTCAACCTTTGCACACTGTCTTGCTGTTGCTCTGTAGCAGGTTATTATGTTTGAATTGCTAAGAGGCACAGGATGAAAGTCAGTGTGGAGGTATGTCTAATTTCTTATTTGAGCACACTGTTATGGCTTTCTTTCCTCCCGAAAGTCAAAAGAATCCAACACTTAAGAGATATCAATGTTATGCTTTGACTGCTTTCTTCGCAATATGTTGCAGTTGTCCTGTAGATATGGACACAGTTTAAAGACCTACTTATTTTCACAATAGTGTGATCAAGTTGCTTAGGGTATTTTTTTTTTTCCGGGTATTTGCTGACCTATAAATTTTTGTTCTTAGGTCATTCTCTTTAAGGCAGAGGAAATATTGCTTGCTAAATATAAATAAGATTAAACTATGGGCTCAAGGTCATAAAATAATTCTTGGTCACATTTCCACTTATGATGTTTTTGCTGTTGTAAAGGCTTACTCAGTTGTAGGTCTAATGTAGTCTGTTTTAACTAAGCAAGATCTTGAATGATACTGCAGATGTTGATTGTCCAACTTCCTCAAAGGCATATACACAAATTCAAGTCTCTGAAGATGATTTGCTCATCTTTCTTTATTGAAAACCTTTACTTGTACTTCATGAAATGAGTTTTTTTCTTTTTTTCTTTTTTCATCTTTCTCAAGAATTGTGCAACTACCACTTGTCACATTTATACCAGGAACATACTGCTTTGCTATGCGTTGTCTGTGCTGATTGGACATTTTCGTCTTGTTTCCTTGTCATGTGACTTTTCATACCATAATGGCACTAGAAATCTTGATAAAAATGTAGATATTTGCATCTTGACTCTAAGTGTTTCGCATTTCAGCATGGAAAACGGACTGCAGAAAACCCTAACTGTGTCTTGAGGTTCCCTTTTATAGCTCCCAGATGCTGCAGGGGTTGGGCCATGTGGGTGGGGGTGAAGTTGCTCAAGCTCGCCCTGTAACTACCAAAGACTCTGCACCACTAATAGGAACATATGGTAGTTTCAGTTGAAATAACATGCAGGCCATTCTAGGCAATGGGGGTAATCCACAAGGTAACTCTGGGCCGTTTGACTGCTCATAAGGCTTTTCTAGAATTTATTAAATTAAATGAGTCTGAATATCAGTTTGCCTTATGAGCTGCTAAGGAAAATAGTAACTGAGGTGTATTTTTCCACCCTTGGTTTCAAGTTTTTTTGCACACTAAAAACTGCTCTTTGTAAAGTGACTTGCGTATGTACGCGTCTTTTTCCATTTATACAGCTGCACGTTTTGCATTCCCTTGGTGCTTTTCTCAGTAGAGCTGAAGTCTTGCCATTTGATCCTGAACAAACAGGTCTGAAACATGTTCAGAATAAACATAGACTGTAAAATTCAATGTGTGTGTTTGTACAATAAGATATCCATTTATAATATACAATACTGGGGTAGTGTTTTTACGTTGAAAATTTAGATCACTTGTGACAAGTAATTTTCACGTTATCCCCACACTCAGTAGTGCATTTAAAAATAAATAAATAAAAACATTTGCTATTATGGGTTGTTATGTTGAGTCAGTTGTTTAGGTGAATATAAACTTACACTCATTGCCCTGCTGTCAGTGAGCAGTATAGAAACATAAATCGAGCGTCTACTGGGGCTGACAGTCACTGCAGATTTCTGGCCTCCGAAGTTGTGGTCAAAGTCTGAAGCCTGTGGCTGGATTTAGAGGTCTGTTAATCAGAGGTGTGACTGAGCCCTTGACAGTGTGGGAGTAACAGCGGTGCACTGTTCCTGTCGGCATCTCTCCCTTCTGTAGGCGCCTGTTGACTATGTGTGACTGCTGAGAAGGAGCTACTGTGACCAGTACCACGTAGGAGCCGCTTGTCTGTTCTAATCGTCCCTGCGATCAGCTGAAATGTCAGCAGAAGCAGAAACCAATGTGAACAACCAAGCTGACCCAGGCCCAGCCAAGACCCCGGCTAAGAAAGAGAAGAAGAGAGGTGAGTGGCCTTGCCCACCCTGGTCTCCATCCATCGATGATGCGTACCACTGCCCCTTGTTACCCCACCCTCCAAAGTAAATCTGCGGTTGTGCTGAAAAGGTGTCCAGAGCTGCTGTTTCAGCGCTTGTAGTCTTTTTAACTCTCTGTAGACTGTGATGTAGCTAGAGGTTAAACAGGGGCAGCACAATGGTTCTGTGGGCAGCATGGTTGCTTCAGACTTCCGTGGGTCCACTCTCTGCATATGGATTTCTTATGTTCTCCTGTCATAGTCCAAAGACGTACATTCAGGTTGACTGGTGTCTGTAAATTGGACATTCTATGATGGACTAGCATGCCTTCCAGAATGTACCCCTGCCTGCTGCCTCCTGCCTCCTGCTGCCTGAGAGAGGCTCCAGGCCCCTCCAACAACAATGATCAGGATAAGAGGATGGATGAATCCATTGATGAGTCAAACATCTAATAAATGTTTCAGTAGCAAAAAAATCTTTCAGTATGCCTTTTTAATTCTCATCAAAAATGGAAAAAGCCATTGTACTTCATGGAATACATTTTAAAATCCTTTACTTAATGTCTTGGGAAACTACTATGAAATGTGGTTTTAGAAGAACCTACAGTACTTCTCTACATTGTAATTTATGAAAAGATATAAAAGGTGATGTATAAAGGCACCCACAATTACGTGATGCATTCCGTCTTGACCTTCCTGTCACCAGCTCCTAACAGTGCTCTGTGAACACTAGGTATGTTCTTTGCTGACAGGATACTGTACTGTAATGGAGTCGGCATTTTCTCAAGCAATGAATTACCACTGTTTGCATGTTTTCCATGTTTTATTCACCTCTCCAAGAAACCATCCGATGTAGGTCATGCTCCTCGGTGAAATGCAGTTGCTGCAGAGAGCATTGCAGAGCTCAAAGCTAATATTCTGTGAGATTTATTTTGCTAAGCTGATCTTGTGCTTGCCATTATTGTTTCTTTCACACCGATAAGCGTGAAGTGGCAACAGATCCAACAGAATATGAGGCTTCCCTTATATTCTTTGGCTTTCTCAGAGACTTCCAGCTGTGTCTGAAAGCTGATGACTTCCTGGTGTGAAATGAATAGAGGTCATATTTTATGGAGAAGAATAGTGTTGTATAGTTCCAATTATCACAGTGGCATTCCTAGATTTCACTTGACATTATATGGCCTGTAATGCTAGTGAATATTTGAGAGCTTAAATGGGTTAATTTTCAAACTGATCACAGAATTGTGTGACCCTTAAATGAATTGCTGATAAACTGGCATTATTTGAAGTCTGTGGTCATCCTCTAGTTTTGGTTCATTTATGTAATACAGAATGCTTCTTTGGCTATAATAGATTTACAGTATAGCATTATTGCAATATAGCACCTAGGCTAAATTTTAGCAATATATTGGCTTGGGTGAGTTGAGTTGCAGGTGTTTTTAATAGGGAAAGACTAGGTTGTTTTTTTAATGAGACTTTGTTAAATGGTGATCAGTGATTGTGTATTGGATGCTAACTTTTAAAATTGCACAATTCTCCACTAACTGGGTAACATTCATTGCTGTATACTTGGTAACATAATGCATTTTAGAGGAGTTGTGCTTCTTCATTATTTTCAAAGAATTTCTCTCAGTGAGCACAATGTGTATTTAAACTGCTGTGTAGCTCTGCTTACTTTATGTATTTTAAGAATCATGTTATTTGGAAAGGCCATTATAGACACTTTTTATTCTTAGTTACAAGCATTGGGTACTAAATGGAACTGGAGCTTGTTCATTGTATGAAACTGTTTGGTTTTAAACTGAATCAGATCTGATGCCCTTCAACATATGACTCCCCTCCTAGAAACTAGGGACAAGAAGGTTCTGACAAGAGCTTCAACCTTAACATACATAAGGGAGAATCATAATCATATCATGTTTTTTGTATGACAGCCTTAATTTGCTCTTATAGTGGTTCACTGTTCAAGTCTGTAGCTGAAGAAAAGCTACTTGCACATTAAATATAAATACCTTAAGATTTTAACAGAATGATGGATGGATGGATTTGACCGATGCGTTCACTCTTATAACCTACTGAAGAATGCTGTTTCCCAAAGAGAAGCTATTTCAGGTGTACAAATGAAAACTAATTGTCATGCTTGAATGGTATACAGTAGCTGAATGCATATAGATATCTTTGTCCTGTTGATTATTTGGTTGCCTTCTGTCTAATGCACATGGTGCCAAAATGTAATGCCTACATTCTTGAAAGTTGTATCAGCTGTTATACTTTATTAACTTTTGTTATTGTTATTATACAGATTATACTTTGACCAAAGTATAGCTTCCTCATCATATGTGTTACCAGAAATTAACAAGATTCAAAAACTTGACATTCGAAATCTTGATTTCATTGACAATTACAGGGTTTTTACTTTTACGATTTTTTTTGTATTTTTGTCGCTGCTACAGGCCCAGAAAAAAATGATGAATTCTTGCTGGCCAGGTTCAAAGGCGACGGGGTGCGATACAAAGCCAAATTGATTGGGGTGGATGATGTACCTGAAGCCAGAGGGGATAAGATGAGCCAGGACTCCATGATGAAATTAAAGGTACATGTTGCGTTTAGTGCATAGACCAGCGGTGGCCAATCTTATCCGCAAAGGGCCGGTGTGTATGCAGGTTTTTGGGATAACCTGTAGGTCAGCTGTTCAAACCCAGGTGTGAGGACTCTTCAGCCAATCAGTCCTCTGATTAGTAATCTAATTAATGAGTTGCAGCGAAAACCTGCATACACAGCGGCCCTTTGCGGATATGATTGGCCACCCCTGGCCTAGGGTGTTGCTTTAGGAAATGTATAGGTTTCCCCCGTTTTTGAGGCATTTGCATTTTATTTTGCATTCAGGGCATGGCTGTAGCTGCTCGATCCCAGGGAAAGCACAAACAAAGAATCTGGGTCAACATATCACTTTCTGGGATCAAAATCATTGATGAAAAAACAGGGGTGAGTGTGATCATTCAGTTTGGTGTGCTAACCTCACCCTGCACAGCCAATAAGGATGACACCCACAGTTTTGTTTACATGAATCAGAACTGTGGTCTCTGGTGTAAATATCATCATGAGCCTCGACAACCATGTTTGGTATGTTGTGGTTGATGCTACTGTCGTTTGCCTGCATCTAGGTAATAGAACATGAGCATGCCGTAAATAAGATCTCATTCATTGCACGTGATGTGACGGACAACCGGGCCTTTGGTTACGTATGCGGTGCAGAAGGCCAACACCAGTTCTTTGCCATTAAGACGGCCCAGCAGGTAGGTAGCCTTTCTCCAAATGTACTAAGTCTGCATTAGCCCTGCTCCGCCTTTTCTTTGAGACGGAAGAGAGGGACACTCTGGCTGCTTGAGTACATAAGACAACTTTGCTAAACAGTTTGTTAGGACCATTAAGGGATTCGAGGAAGCTAAATGGAAAAACTTCTTAAGCTGGCCAATAAGTTGATTATTGTACAGTCAGGTTAACATTAACTTGTGCTTCACAGAAGGATGCACTTGATGTATTGATCTGACAGGCTGTTTACACTCTCCTAGGCTGAGCCTCTAGTGATTGACCTGAAGGACCTCTTCCAGTTAATTTTCAATTTGAGGAAAAAAGAAGCGGAGGGTCCAAAGAAGGTAACTGCTGTTTGGCATAATGTCTGTATTACTTGAGGCAGTCAAAAAATCTTTTGTGGAGGGATTATTCTTTCATGTTTTCATTTGATTTACAAAGGGCACTCCTCAACACAGTGCACAATGCAAAATTTGTAATGTGATATACGGAGAACAATATCGGTCTGTATGTTTTTAAATTAGAATATGTGCGTACAGTCATGCTTCGCTTACAGACAGGGATATATTCTGAGAAATGCATTAAGGGATTTTGTTTTTGTGAAAATTCTAGAATGTACTTGTACAAACCTTGCCTACTACATGCCTACGCTACAGTAAACTTTTTATATACAAGCAGAAAGAATATACTCTAAAAGTATAATAAATACATGAATTTCATTATCATTATCAAGTATTATGCACTGTACATGAATGTTAATGCAGTTTATATGATTGGCAGTGCAGCAGGTTTGTTTACACCCGCATTACCACAAACACATGAGTAATGCGTTGTGCTGCGACATCACCAGCCGATAGGAATTCATTGTTATGCGGCACATGACGGTATTTGCTAAAGATGGGTGAACTTGCTGGAAGAAGCTATATAGGTTAAAAGGCTGAGAACTCTGCGGGTTTTCCAAGTTAAGCTGTATATGTTTGATTGGCCATGACAAAGATTAACAGTCCAATGTGGAACAAATTTAACAGTGAAAAGCTTTTCGTTTTTATTTCCAAAACCTTCATATTAACAGTAGGAATGCATGGATACATTTGTATGAAGCACTTTAGAAGTTGCTTTATTATTATTATTATTATTATTATTATTATTATTATTATTATTTTTATTTATTTTAAATTTGACCTTGTAATTTCTAATTTATTCATTTTTTTTTTTTTTAAAAGATACTTTATGCTCTTATCAATACCCACCACATAGAATGACCACTGTTTAACATTCCATTTTCTAGGATGAAACGGATAAGCAGGTGATTGAGGTGAGGTTTTGTTTTTGTCTTGTACCCTGTACTTTTTGTGATAGATTCCAAACTCACTATGACTCTGTACTGCATAAATGGTTAAAGATGATGAATTGGTGCTTTGAATTAAAAAGTTAATAATTAATTTGTGTTGACAGAATGGCCGTGATGCCCTGCTTGATGTTGAAGGTGAAGCAGATAAGTTAAAAGTGAGTATACTGATTTATTTAATGTAAGATCGTTAATTTAGTGCTATAACCATGTGACCGCCAGACATCTGTGACCAAGCTTGTCCTTCTCTCTTGCTCATTTGTTAAAATGCCCACTTTAAGAGGTTTCAGACTCTTCTGAGTCTCATTAGCTAACGAGCACATACAGCAGTAACAACATAACACTGCAATCTCATGTTGCAGACTGTTGAGCAGCTAGACCTGTTTGGAGACATGTCGACTCCACCAGACTTAAATTCTCCTTCGGTAAGTCCCACAAACAGATTTTATCATATAAGCATCCCGCATGGAATTCGCCTGCGTGATGTACAGTCTTCTATCCAGTTTTCAGTTCTGACCCCTGACCATTTCTTCAAATATGGCATAACATAAAGTGTAAGTTGAGTCCCCAGGACCTTTCACTTACCCCCTGTTAATTTTCAAAAGCTTAAGGCCAGATTTAATCGCGAGTGATATTTATATAAGTACACACCACGCACATTACTGTAACTGCTCCAGGTAGAAATGCCATTTGTCCCCCTACAGTAATGAGTAATGACCAGGAGAGAGACATCCTTTATCAACAAGGGGCTTTGTGTATGTCAGTGACAGAGGAAATCACATCTTTTGCCATATAGATACACCAGTCATTCTCACAAACTTATTACTGTAACACATTTTCTATAATATTTAAGGCAGATTCAAATTATACAGCTTCGTTGTCAAAATGGTCTTGCCTATGGGGCAGTTGATCTGCTTTATTATATTACCATTTGATTCTGTAATAAGGAAATAAAAGGTATTCCATGAAATCCAGAGCAAGAATTATGATTATTGATGGAAAAAAATAAAACCTACAAAAACTGAGCAAAAAAATTTGTTGCATACAATAAAGTTCAAAGATTTAAAAGCAATTTGGTTCCATTTGTTGCTCTGATTTTGATGTACCAAAAAGATGTCAATTGCTCTACACAAAACACTTTTAATGCTCTAGTTTGTGAGAATGATAGTGTTTCTGTCTGTATGAAATTTAGTGGTGTATTTGCACCTATTCTTTGAAATGTTATTACAAATCAGTATGTCCTATGGTGTGCAGGACTACATTCAGTGTGGCTTCAGCTTTTTATCATGCTCAATTCCAATCATCTCATATGCCAAATATTCAGTAATCTGCATGTCTGTTAGCTGATCCATAAAAGTTCACAAATGTCATGGCATTAAATCATTTTGCTCAGTTTGAGGGAGAGCTGTTTATCCACAGAACTGATTTTTGTGTCGTTTCTTTCTCTCTCAATGATCAGGAGACAAATGATATCCTATTGCTGGACCTTTCCACTGACATTGACAGCAATCAGAACTGTGTAAAAGGAAATCCCTTCACCTCTTCCTGTCCTTCTGTCACCTGGCCCAACCCACAGTCCAGCAACTCGCCTGAAAACCCCTTTTCTTCCCAGCTCAGCTTTTTTCCTGCTCCTATTCCCGACCCTTTTGGTGACGACCCCTTCTCCAAAAATGACCAATCAGCACACACCAATTCTGTGACCCCTGGCTCTTTCAGTTGTAGCCAGGATAAATCCTACTGCAACCTTAATGGGCCCAAGCAAAACGGTAGTCAGCATGGTGACTCTGAATGCTTTGGGCATCAGTTTGATGAGAGATCTAGTAAGACTGTGATCCAAACGCTGTCCAATGGCCAGTGGCCATTGGAACACACTCTGGGGGATGCCTGGAAAAAAAACGAGATCCCAGTGAAGGAACAGAATGGCATCCATTACAAATCTTCCCATAATCCTTTCTTTGAGAGCTCTGGCAATAGCCCACCCTTGAAAAACAAGTTAAACCATGAGCCAGTTGGGGCTTCTGAGGCCCCTGTAACTGCAGCAAAGGATTCTGTCCTCATTAGCCCCCCTCCGCTCAACACCAAAGCTGGACGAGGACGGAGAAACGTCAAGGTGAAGCCAGGAGTCCAGCCTCTCCTATTGCATGATCTCAATGTGCATTGGTCTGGGAACACCCCAGTTCTGTAGGTATTAGACTCTGAAGTACCTGCATTTAAATGACGGGTATGTCGTCATGTCAATCAGACCATATCATTTAGAGGAGTAAAAAGCTTAATGAATATCGTTAATGTTCACAATCTGTTAAGTGATAAGCAGTTGGCTATAAACCTTCAGAACTGGGCACTGCAGGGTTAGCTATCTAACGATCTAACACCTAACTAGGTCATGTGAATGGCTCATGCATCTCTGAGACTGTGCGTACCTGTGTGAGTGTAGTAATATATATAAAATATGATATGAAAGATGCAGCTAGGCATCGGTGGTTTGTGTTGTGGTGATGTTGGACCCCTAATCTAACAGTTAGTAGCTGTTCATGCAACTTAATCTAACCCCAGTTTTGTCCTGTTTTCGGCTGCTTGTTTCCTAGCCCATGCTCTGTTAACAACATCTTTATTATTCTTTTAATGCATCAGTGATTACCAGGTAAGTAGTGATGCTATTTGTGTTGAAGAGAATGTGTACCAGGTGTAGCAGATTTCAGCCTCTGATGTTAAGTATCGCTATTCTGTATTAAGGGTAACATGTTCTCTCTGCTGTTGCCTACAGATGACACTGAGAACATAAGTCAGGTAACCGGTGCTGTAAAACTTATTCTCATTTTTTAAATTGTTCTCAACAGTCTCCTACAAATATTTTTGGAGCCGACCTGTTTGGTTCACCTTCCCAAGCAGAAGCGCCCTCTGTGCCTCAGATGGACTTCGTGCAGCCGAACCCTGTGAACCTTTTCAACAGTACCCCAGCTACCACTGTCTCCCCATTGGCAGCCTTGAATAATCCACCTGCCATGGCGGCATTGGGTACGACAAGGTTTATCGTAAAATAAACCCCGAGTATCAGTTGTTTAGTGTGGCATTCTAAGATGCACAGCGTGTTGAATGCCAACCCTACCCAATACAGTTTTGTGTCCTGCAGGAAAGCTGTCACTGGGAGGTCCCGCAGCAGTCTCCCAATCAGCTACACCTGCATGGAGACCACAAGCCCCCACCATGTTCCCTGTACCTGGTGGTATTCCCCAGGTCACCATGCCAGGTCCCCAGGTCTCGCCATTCAGTGTCACATCTCTGCCTGGATGGGGGCAGACTCCTCCTCTCTTGGGGACGGCCGCTGCTCCCCAACCCCCTGCTTGGGGACAGGCTCTGGCTCCAGTGAACCCTGGAGCTTGGCCTCAACCTTCACCTACAGCTGGCTCTTTCCATTCTGGTGTGATGGCCACCTCACTCATGCCAGGGGTTATGGTGGGAGTGCAGCAAGCTTCTACACCTCTGCCCCAACCCCCACCTCGGCCAGCTCCGGTGGAGCCACCCAAAGCTGAGAACAATGCCTTCACTGCTCTGGACCCTCTGGGTGACAAAGAGCAAAAGAATGTGAAGGACATGTTCAAGGACTTCCAGATAGCTAAACCCCCAGCTGTCCCAGCCAGAAGAGGTGACCAGGCAGGTTCCACAGAAAGTGGAGCCTTTGCTGAGTACTTCTCCAACAAAGTTGGCTTAGCTCAGGAGGTGGCCGATAATGATGACTTTGACGTCAGTCAGCTGTCAGCCAAGATCAATGGTAATTAACACATTCAGGAGTTCCATTAACCTTGTGAATACTGAAGTATATGTCTAAAGTAAGGTACAATATTGAACCGATTTGATAAAAGTGCTTCATTAAGCAAATTAAAATTGCAGTGCAAGTGAGACAAAAACTAAACTGAAATTAAATAAATAAATAGAAATTAATAAAATATAATTAATTTATGGAAATGGAAAAATTGTGGTTTCTATTTTTAACTTATTTGAATGTAAAAGCCTGTGTATAGGCTAACAGATGTCTCTAAATAATCAAAGGTGAACGTAGCCTCTGATAAGTGTTTGAAATGGACGAGATTAGTGACCGAAGAGATTAGATTAGGCATGGGTGATACCACTGAAAATGACAAAGATGCACAAAATCGGTTAAAATATCGATATTGGCTGATGGTTGTTAAAAATAAAGATATCTGCATCTGTCCAATGTGTCAATATTGGCTGATATTTAAACTTAATCAATATTCTATTATTATTATTATTATTATTATTATTATTATTATTATTTATTTTGGAGATGATTGCATTGGGGGATCAGCAATTTTCCATAGTGAAGGATGACTGCCAGCTCATTCACCACTTGGAAGATGTCATGAAGTACCAGCCCACAATGCATTTGTAATTTATTATTAAATCTGGTTGGCAGATTATCCTTTATTTTCCAAAGAATAACAAAGCTATGTAAGGTCATTTTGCTAATCAGCGCTGGTAAGCTCTGCAAATTTCATCTCCAACAACTGCAACTGTTAATATGCACCTACACATTTTAATAAATGGAAATTAAATTACCTTGACATGGACATATAAAACATAGTCAACTAGTTTTCTTTGGAGTATCTGCAAAAAACACAGAGGAGAGTGTAGGAATCTTAGCAATAAGACAACAGGTAGTTTATTTTGTTCGTCTGAGAGGATCCCTGAACATTTGATGTTTCTGCGGTTTATGTCTCTGAAGTTGCTGCGCTCTATCCTCTGTACAGAGCCACCCAAGCCTATGCCAAGACAGTCAGTCTCCCCACCTGCTAACATGGCCACCTCTGCTCAGGCTGAGAATCCTTTCAATGATTCCTTCGGGGCTGATCCCTTTGGATCTGCTCCACTTACAATGGTATGTTATAATGTTATAGTTGTATTGTATGAGATCTCCTCAAACTCTTGAAGTATGTTTTCTTGAGTTATTCAAAGACATTCAAATTTCTGTGAATCTGAGTCTCTGTTCTACTACACTGCATATGGGAAAAAAAAAAGAAAAAAATCTCTGTTAATGTTGGGCAGGTTCCTCCTCCTGTCCAGCCAAGTGCTGCTGCTGACCTCTTTGGAGATCCCTTTGGGAACCCCTTTGCCTGATTACCACCAACTTTTCCAGCTTTCAGGTGAGACAACCAGGGTCTGATGTGTCCAACCCACATGTCTTTAGAGTTTTTTGTAAAAATCAGTATCTGTGGCATACTTATCAATTTTAAAAATCTGCATTTTCTCTTTAACAGCTGCAACCAAGAATTCCTCAGCCATTGTTGACCCAAGAGGCAGGAACTGCACATCAAGTTGCTGTGGTTGTTCCGGGTGTGACTTTCGCCAGACTACCACCTTAACTGAAATTTTGTTGTAATTTCCACTTTGATCTACACATTCTTGATAAATCTCTTAAATGGACAGTGTAACAAAGATTACATAGTGTAGTCTCTTGCCAAAGGTCTGTTCTGCTTCACAGCCAGCTAAATTTCCAAATGGTAAATGTATTGGTATTGTTTACAACAACAACAAAATGGGTGTATCTGCTTGAAGGGCATATATACCATTGGATTGTATTTCCATATTTATATAGAGGGATTGCCCAAATATGCTTACCCTTCCACATTTGTGAAATTACCGAACCTCTGCAGAATGTCTATTAAAGATGAGAATGAGCCTTTCTTAGTGTTCCGTGTTTACATCATACAGTACTGATGGCACAATCTCTAACTGTAACTGGAATTAGTATTTTTTGAGTTAGCTGGTGAATAAATGCCACCTTTGATGTAGTACTTGGTACTTCCACAGCAGACTTTACAATGTAGTGTTTACTTCCTGCAGCAAGCAAGGTATAAATCATGAAGTATGTTGCAGGATAATCGACTCCTACACAGCTTCAGGCTGTTTTGCACCTTCAATGCTTTAAAGTCACACATTCAGTGCTTTTTGCTAATGCTTAATCTATGAAATATTAGTCTTTTCTACTTCAGTTTACTGCTTGTTAGTCATAGCATTATTTTATTATACTCTACTGATATAATTACAGTTGTGGTAATGGGAAGATTATTCCAAATCGTCTCAGGACGTAGATTTTTCTCCGTACTGTGCTTAATATGCAAACCTGAAAATATTTTTCTTTCCTAAATATAAAAGATCCACAAATGACTTTGGTATTGATAATTAGAGGTTTATCTGATCGCTTGTGCTTTGCCAGAATAAAACGTGGGGCAAACGTTGAGAATCATTTAAGAAGTACCTCTGCGCCATATAATCACTGAATAGTATAATTAGATTTGTTAATGATGATGACATTTGATACTTTGATCAATTCGTGCGAAATATCTCAGCCCCTCCAACACGGATTTTACTGAAGATTAAGATATACCTTTATAATGAATCAACAACAATATGAATGAAAGCAGGTCTTATCCTTTTAAATATCAAATTCTAGTATACCATTAGGTGGCAGTATTTACTTTGGCATAGCGAGTTGTTTTGGAATGTATCTGAATCATAATGGTCTTCCAATAAATGTAGATATTTTCAAATGATTTCTTGATATCCTGGTGTTGTTTTGAATACAAGCTATTTGTGTGTCAGTGTCGGGTGATTCCAGATTAATTTAATCACTAATTACTTTGTAAATAGACCAAAGTTACATGCAGAAGATCAAGAGGATACTTAATTTGAAAACATTTTCCTGCGTGTTTAAAATGCATTTCAAATGGATTATGGTGGAGGGCTCCGTGGGTAGCACTGTTGCCTCATTCCTACAGGTTTGGGGTTCACACCCTGTCACCCCTCTGTGTGTGTGGAGTTTGCAAATTCTCTCTGTATCCTGCGGGTTTCCTCCGGATATTCTGGCTTCCTTCCGCAGTTCAAAGGAATGCTGCCGCGTAATTGGTGTGTATAATTGTACATGGCAGCCGATAGACTGCCATTATATTACACAGCCAAGGGAGACGCAGAAGAGAGAACGCGCACTACACTTTTAAAAGATACCATTATGGGTAGCATTTTGGATCATGAGAAGTCACCTTTATATTATAAACAATCAAACATTTAGAATTAATGTGACAACACATAATACAACTACCTTAGGCTGCCAATGCCGTTTGGTTTATTAATTGACTACATAGTACACACTACAACAATCGACATTTTCCCTAACCACGATCAAGAGCCTCAGACTGCATTTAGCATTTTTCCTTGACATATCCCATTAGGCACCACGAGATCAGCAATCGTTTGATCTGCAGAACAGGTACGGTATTTAACTATACAACAGGAGGTCAATCATGATTTATCAGTCAGCACTGACATTAAATAAAGATGACGTTTAAAAGCATGAACGTTCATTTAAAAAGTTCATAAAGGTTCAAAGGAAAACGAAAGACTGTCCGTCAAAAACAGAAAAACGATTCGTGTAGACGGTAATTCCAATCAGCACAGTGAATAATATTCTAAACTAAAGGTAGTATTACAAATATCAGGTGACCGGTTTCGTCAGCGAATGACTGGATCTACTTTGATGACGTAATCTTATTGATGGCTTCTGGTTATTGTATTTTCTTAAATGCAAAGAAGCCCTTTTCAAAGCATTTTAAACTACAATTCCCACAATCCTTCTGACTGTAAGCACCGTTGCATAGTAGTCGCGTTCTTAAACGTGAACAAGCATGGCGGATGATACAACTCTCATATAAAGCATGAAACTTGATTCAGAAAATGTCATCTAAGATGATTAGCAGTGTTTAATAAAAGTGAGTATGGATTTTTGTTACTGAATATTTTCAAAGTTAAGTCGGACGAGCTAGCGTGCTTTCAAAAAGCGCTTCGCCTTTTGGATTAATTTTATGACGTTAACCCTGTGTGTTTGGACCCACGAATCACTCCGTTTATATTTAAGATATCTGACAATTTAGGGATATGAAGGTGATTTATAAAGAATGGCAGATTTTCTTACAATCTGCCTTCTCGGATTGACAGCTGTCTCACAGTAATTTTTTGTTTGTATATCGATGTGCCTCTTCTTCCGTAAGGTATTAGGTGGCTTCCATATTATAATCCGTGAAAAGTATTTTTCAATAATTAATGATCAGTCCAGTTCGTCGTCGAATCCTTAACATTTCTGTAATAATTTACTTCGCATCTAGTATTACTTAGAACGCATAATATTCTTGAATAAAAGTTAATATTGCTGGTCTAGTGTCACTTATTTTGGAAATGTTTTACTAGGTAAAATATTGGGGTAGCTCTGTTACCTTAATTTTTAGTATAATACTTGTTCTTAAAGTGGGACAAGCGTTTTCACAGGCTGTTGTATCACTGACCTACTGTGTATGATTAATGTTGTTGACATTCACTTGCATTGTTCTCTTTATTAAAAGAATGATGCGTAGATCGAGGATAACGGTGCGGCCCAATGTACGGTCTGGCGGCAGAGGTCAGGCCGCATTGCAGGACAGCCATTCTGTCCAGGGCAGTACGAATAGCTTTGAGGATACTGCTCAAAACGCACCAAAGGACTCAGCTGACTCAACAAACCAATCACCAGAAGTGACAAAGGATGTAGAGACCCAGCCTGCTGATGCAGAAAATATTACCTCTCTGAAGTCAAACGATGACAACAATTCACATCCAGAAAAAGCTTCCTGTAATGGGTAAGTAGTCTGCGATTTATACCGCTGATATAAATAAGCTGTTGTAGTAGTTCATAATGATTAATTATGGTGTTTTTTTATGCAGGGATGGATTAGACCATAATGGAGAGGCCACTGGTAGCAGTAAACCTTTGGCATGTTCTTTGGCACGAAGAAAACGCTTTTCTGCCATGCCTAATTTGACCAAGATCCGTGTTACTCCTGCTATAACTTGCACATCTGCTAGGGGCCCAAGATCTTCTGCTGTGAAGAGTGGAGTAGTTTCCAAGGCGGAGACCACGGCCACCAACACTGGGAATCAGCTACGGCTGAAAGGCGGTATCACCCAAGGCTTTAGACACCCAAGTAGGCAGAAAGCTTGCAGTGAAGGAACACAGCCTATAATTCAGTCTGTACCTTTATCTTCAACGAGTCAAGATCCTGAAGCTTCTCTTCAAGGAAAGAAATCTAAAGTAAAATCCCTTTCACGTCAGAGTAGTCAGCTTTCTGAATGCCAGAAATCACTAAACGGGGCAGTTCCTGATGATGGCAAGTCCCTCACCCCCGAATGCTGTATGGGTAGCACAAAACTGTCACAAGGCAGTGCGTCTCTAGTGAACGCTGTGTCTTCTGTGGCCACCTTGACAACCAAGACCCAGAGTGTTTCTTCAGATCGTGAGAGGATCATTAAGACCCAGAAGCTGAGAGAACTTTTAAAGCGGGAGCGAAAAAAAGAGCGGGTCAGTATGACTATAGAATGTCTGTCGTAGAACTTGTTTCCAAGTATCTGTCATATTATGTAAATAACATAGTTGTTATTACAGTCATCCCTAACCTCAACCCTTTATGGAAGCCTGTTTCCACCATCTAGAGTAGAATTTTTTATTTTTTTTTACACATTTATTTCAAAATTCTGACTTTTTTTGGCTTCCTCTGCAAGGAGCCAATTAGGAATATATTCCAAACACGCATTATTCTCATAATGTAATCTGCTGGCTGGTAGTTTGGATTTAATTTTAACTTGCTATATTATGAAAGCAGTAAAACAAGGTTGCACTAGTAGTACTGCTTTCATTCCCTTGGTTTGAGACATTCAGTTATTCTTCTGATGCCAGTGTTTGCCTAGGACTTCCAATAGCTTGAAAAATACAATTAACTGAAAGACATGTCTGTAATTAGAACATATACAGTGGTACCTCAGCATTCGAATTTAATCTGTTCAGAACTCCGGATCGAATCCTAAGAAGTTTGAGTTGTGATCAAATTTTCCCCATAAGAAATAATGGAAAACCAATTAATTGGTTCCCTGCTCCAGAAAATTACACCTAAATATGTTTTTTTTACCATTTAAACACAAAATGAACCAGATAAAACAAGAATTGCATATACTGTACTAAACACATCTAAGCACATTTGTCAAAACAGTCATTTGTAAAGTAAGGAAATAGATGTATCCAAACAATGTGTCCTGCCCCGATCGTTCGCTCCTTCCATGTGCCACGCCCCCTCGTTAAGCCCGTCCCCGTGTGATCAGCTGTTTCTGGTTGTTGTCTTTAGTCCTCTGTATTTAGTCCGCGTTTCAGTTTGTTTCCCCAGTCAGGTCATTGTATTGTCCGTCTGCATTTTGCCTGCCTTACCTGTAATTAAACCACATATTCCCCGACGTCTGCCCCTTTGTCTCCGTTCCATCCCCGCTAGGCACGACAATATTATTATAATTAAATGTATTAATGGTTTATTATTAATATTAAAATAATAAGTCTTTATTTTAAAATGTATTTTATTATATAATAATAATTACTGTTATTGTCTATCATTGGCTAAATGTATTTGTGCTGTCTAAATATATGTATTCAGCTAGTGTAAACATGCATGATGCTATCACAGCGAATGCAAGGCTGAGACTGAAGCTTTACCCTTTGTTTCCACTGAGAGACGTGCTGCGTGACTCATTTCCCCGCGTGTACAAGTTATCTTAGGTCGGCGTTCACAGTTTGACTTCTGAGATTCAGATCGAGTTCTAGGTAATTTTTTTTCGAACTGGTTGGTTCCACTTTTAAGATATTCGAGTTCTAATGAGTTCGAGAACTGAGGTACCACTGTATCTTGTGCAATGCCATGATTAAGATCTGTAGCAGCCAATAATATAACTAATCGTTAATGTAGTAACTGCCAATAATGTAATAATTCTTCCGTTTTTTTACATGTAATAAAAGCTGATAATAATGTGATATGGTTTTGATTCAGAAATGTTAGTACAGACACTCCTCTACTTACAAACGAGTTACATTCCGAATGGCCATTCATAACTTGTAATGTTCGTAAGTCGTTATTCAACATCATTTTAACGGTATAAGCAAGAACAAAGAACTAAAAAAAAAAAAATTGATGTTGCGGACAGGAAACGGGAGCCCAACAAACACAATTTCGACTTACTCTTCATATGTCTGAAAGTTCATAAGTTGAAAGTTCTTAAGTAGAGGAGCGTCTGTACAGTATTGGTAAGTTATTACATTAAGTACAGAAAAATTATTATTGCCAGTCATTACAATAATGGTAGGTATTAGATTATTGGCTGCTACAGGGTCTTGTAGGTCTAATGCAAGAAGCATTGATGCTAGATATGCTTGTACTGCACTTAATTAGGTGAAAGTTATGTTTTATTGCCCCTTTTCATTTGATACCTGGTTAACATTTATAGGACAATTATCATTGCAAGTTTCGATGCAGGCTACCATTCATACTGACAATTGGAAATATAAAAATGCCTGGACAGAGCAGACACAATCATTGTAGCAATACAGTAGCAGACAGGAGGACACTGAACCATTAAACGTGAGCAGAAGTGCTGGTTCCCGCGAATTGTGAGGAAAAAAGTCAGAATTTCGACATAGTAAGTCAGAGATAAATGTGTTTGTTTGTCTACTTCAGATGGTGGAAACGGGCTTCCATAACCCTAACAGCCTCCTAGCCTGGTCTATTTATGACCAATTTCTGAACAAACAGTAGTGTACTGTACACTTTGCTTGTCAAATTGCTTCATCATTTCCTATCTAGATCTTTTTATTTACAACCCCGTTTCCAAAGAAGTTGGGAAGCTGTGTAAAATGTAAATAAAAACAGAATGCAATGATTTGCAATCTTATAAACCCGTATTTAACTGAAAATAGATCAAAGCAGATCAAATGTTGAAACTCAGAAATGTTATTGTTTTATGAAAAATATATGCTCAATTTGAATTTGATTCCAGCAACATGTGTCAAAAAAATTGGGACAGAGGCATATTTACCACTATGCTGCATCACCTTTTCTTTTAACAATACTCTGTGAACGTTTGAGAACTGAGGAGACCAGTTGCAGGAGTTTTGGTAGTGAAATGTTGTCCCATTCTTGCCTGATATAGGATTTCAGCTGCTCAACAGTTCAGGGTCTCCTTTATCGTATTTTAATTTTCATGATGCAATAAATGTTTTCAGACGGGTCTGAAATGCAAGCAGGCCAGTCTAGCACCCAGACTTTTCTACTACGGAGCCATGTTGTTGTAATACGCACAGAATGTGGTTTGGCATTCCTTCTCTGAAGAAAATATTGCCTGGATGGCAGTATATTTTGCTCCAAAACCTGTATATATTGTTCAGCATTAACGGTACCTTCCCAGATGTGTAGACTACCCAAGCCATTGGCACTAATGCACCTCCATGCCATCATGGATGCTGGCTTTTGATCTGTCCTCTGATAACAAGCTGGATGGTCCCTCTCCTTTTTAGCAGGGGGATGTCCGTGATTTCCAAAAATAATTTGAAGCTTTGATTTGTGTGACCACAGGACAATTTTTCATTTCACCTCAGTCCATCTTAAATGAGCTCGGGCCCAGAAAAGTCGGCAGCATGTCTGGATCACGGTTAGATATGGTTTCTTCTTTGTGTGGTAGAGTTTTCATCATGCATTTGTGGATGCAGTGACGAACTGTATTCACAGATAGTGGTTTTCAGAAGTGTTCCTGAGCCCATGCAGTGATTTCCACTATAGAATCGTGTCTGTTCTTAATGCAGTGCCACCTGAGCACCTGAAGATCACAGCTATCCAGTATTGGTTTTCCACTTTGTTCCTTGCGTACGGATTCTCTGAAACCTTTAGTGATATTTTGTGCCATACATGATGAAATTCACAAATTCTTTGCAGTGTTACATTGAGGAACATCATTCTTAAAATGTTGCACTATTTGCCCACACAGTCTTTCACAAAGTGGTGAACATCTCCCCATCTTCACTGCACAGAGGCTCTTAATACCCAATCATCTTACAGACCTGTTGCCAAATAACCTCTCTGGTTGTGAGATATTCATCCAGGTGTTTTGTTTTAGCATTACACAACTTTTCCAGTCTTCTGTTGCCTCTGTCCCAACTTCTTCGAAACATATTGCTGGCATCAAATTCAAATTGATCATACATTTGTTATAGAACAATAACATTTCTCACTTTCAACATTTAATATGTTGTATGTGTTCTATTTTCAGTTCAAATTAGGTTATATGACTTGCAAATCAATGCATTCTGTTTTCTGCATTTCACACAGCATCCCAACATCTTTTGGAAATGGGATTGTAATATACAAAACATCTAAATTATGCCCCTGCATATACTAAGTTACTACTGTACACACTGGGAGCCCTACGTTTTGGACCCATTATTAAAAATGCAAAATTAACAACACTGAAAAGTTAAAAAATTATGGCAAGAAACGTGAGATTCCATGGTAACAAAGACAGCCAACGTGAGGCTGTTTGCTGAGACAAAGATGGGTGGCTTACTCAAGTCAAGCTTTTCTTTTTAACTGAAAATAACTTTTGATATTAAAGGAATAGCATGCACTTACTCTAAACGATATTAGGTAATACTATTATATATTATATGATTTTTTGTGATCCGTTTTCTGTATTGTTCGTATATTATTGGCTTACGCATCATCTGCGAGTTTCTGCGATCTTTCAGAAAGCTCCAAAAATATTCCCATTTCATTGTTCTTGGCCAACGTGTGAATAACCAAAACCGTAAATGTCAAATTTACGAATCCGGAGGGTCCGACTGTATTTGTAAAATTGTTTAGTAGGTAATTACAAAACTTCTGTGGTCAGTTGTTTGTTGGCATAAGACCAGTATTTCAAACAGAAACAAAATACATATGGATGATACATCCATACTTATTAGTGCATGCATTTACTTTGTTTTATGCTGTAATGTGACTATAAATGATTCTGTATAAAAATGTAGTGTTTCAAAGCAATTTTTTTCCCCATAGAAACACAAGAAAGGAAAATCCCGCATCTTTGAATGCAACAGTCCACAGGATCACAGCAAGATGACAATGGCAGACCTCATTTACTATTTGCCAGAGACAAACCCAATGAAGTAATAACTTGAAATGAAAGCATTTTTTTTTCTTTCATCTTTTTGAAATTTCGTTGTTTGTTCATGCTCAGCTGAAATGCTATAATTTATACTTATCCTGTTGAATGGACAGAAATATATGTATGCTAATTTCTGAACAGATCATACCAGATGGAGGAACCGAAGCAGAATGAGAAAGAGAGCTCATGGACACCGACCAAACAGTAAAATCACCTGTTTCCTTGCATGTTGTTTTTATAGAATCAGTGTATTTGAACCAACATTGTGCACTATTTCTCAAACATTGCGTTGCTGAAAAAAGTGTTGTGCAGAATCTGTTTATAATTTTATCCAATTATTATATTTTAAGGGTGGCCGAACAGCCGCAGGAAGCAGAGGAAGAGGATGATGTGGAGAACGGTGATGATGAACAGGGTGAGCAGCTGGTGGTACCCAGGGTGAAGGTAGCAGAAGACGGCAGTTTGATTATTGACGAGGAAAGGTACTGTAGATCACCATGGTGTCATGCAACACCAGACTAATATCGATATTGTAGCCTTCCTGAGAAATCTGTATAAAATGTATGCGTTTTAGGATAAATTACATGTCAATGTATTTTCAACACAAATCATATGTGTGTTTCAGTTTAACTGTTGAAGTCTTGAGGGTTCAAGGACCTAATACGGTGGAGGAGAAGGATCCCATTTTCGAGCGTGGTTCTTCAACAACTTACTCAAGTTTCCGAAAAGCCAGTTACACCAAGCCCTGGTCTAATAAAGGTAGGAGAGTCTGGTCCCTCTTATTACACACTTCTTTATGTGCTTATTAAGAGTTCCGAGCGTGGTTTTTAGGGTAGTGTAACTTCTAAGAAAATGGTGTGAATACTGTGAAATATATTACTGTAAATTAGTTTAAATGCATTGTATATATGTATGTGCATCTCTCATTATCTTGCCCCTGCAGAAACGGACATGTTCTTCTTGGCTATCAGCATGGTGGGGACAGACTTCTCCATGATTGGCCAGCTTTTCCCTCACCGTGGCAGGTCAGAAATCAAGGTATGTCACCCAGGTCCTTAAATTGGTACCTTGTATTACTGTATAATTATCCTATTATTTGAAAGAATCTGTGACTTATCTTCTTCCCCTTTCACATTAAGCAGAGTCCTAACGCTAAGATAAATTGTTATAATTAACTTTTAATGTAGACCTATTCCATCTGTCCATTTTTTAGAATCAGCCATAGAATTATTTCGACTAAGGGGCTGCTTTATTTTTTGGACAATAGCATGTGTGATCATTCAGTTTGATACCTCCTCAGTGTTTAAATAGATGATTCTACATCATTAGATTAGATTGAATTGGAATATTATATAACTCAACTTTACAGTATATAAAGAATGATGCCTTACCAGCGTTTTGACTACCAATAATAACAGTGTTATATTGTTCAGTAGGGCTGTCACTTTTTAACCAATAATCTAACATTCGTTCAAACGCGATTGAAAAATTTATATTCAAATGTTAATGTGTCACTGTAGTCCATTCACTGCCAGTGACTTTAAGCAAGATGGCTAGGTTAGTGAATGTGAAGTGTGCACACAAACACTGAAATATATTACCGACATTGAAAGATATTACAGCTGGAAAACTGCATACAAAGCTAGCTTGACCGCGATGTTGTTGTTAAGGTTTAAACTGGAATCCGCTTTCTGGAATATTTCAGTATAGATCCTCATGGCCCTACATAAATCATCAAGCAAGAATTCCAGGGAGGGGTTAGGGTTTAAACCTTAAGTCTGGCACCGTGGTAAAGTTTGCTTTACATTCAGTTTTCCGTGAATAGACACAATGCAATTAATAATAAATACACATTAAAACACAATATGAAAGTTATATGGTATGCATTGTCCCCCATAGTTTAACACTTAAAGCACACTTAATTAGACATGTATGTTTTATTTAGATTTATACGTAGTAGCCCATTAATTCTTTGGTTTGTATTGTAAACAGACACAGTACAGTCAGTATTAGTAACGCAAAAGTATTGCGAGGGACCAGAAAACCTTTTCATGAAATATTTAGGGGCTCTGTACAAATGTGAAGTTGTACGGGCTGCTAATAAAATACTGAGAAGAATTATTCTGTGTTGGGTTTTTTTTTATGGGGTGGGAGTATATTTGAATATATTTGAACAAATTGCTTGTCATTTGAAAAAGTGACAACCCTAGTATTCAGTATTAACATAATCTTTACAGTATGATAGCCCTCGGCAACTCAAGTATCGCTTCTTGATTTCAGATTTTAACAAAGAATAGTGATTTTATGTTATGCATTTTATATTTATGCATAACACTATTATGTTATGCCTAGCTAGGCTGTCTCAGCTTGTAAGCACCATTGTTGCCCTGTCTCCCCTGTCACAGAACAAATTTAAGAAAGAAGAACGAGCAAATTCTTGGAGGATTGATAAGGCGTTCAGTAAGTGTCCTGTTCCTCAACACTTCTTTTCATTCCTCTAAGCTGTGCTGAATGTTGGACTCCATTACCAAATCCATGTCCTGCTTCATTACACTGTCTGTCCTGTAGGGGAAAAGCGTCGCTTTGACCTGAGTTTCTTCAGTTCCCTCCTTGAGAGGATCCTGGCTGAGGAGCAGAAAAAGCAGGAAAAGTCTAAAGCTTCTGCAGAGAAACAAGTTTCAAGAAAACCAAGGAGTAAGGAAAACGGTGATGATTGGCTGCCTGACTTTGAGAATCCTTTTAGTTTTGAGATTTTTTTTTAAGTCCCCTTTGTAATAAGTTTAACTTTGGGATTTGAGTACTTTTTTTTGGTCTTCCCATAATTTTACTCCCAGATAAGACCAGAACCAGGATGAAAAGCAGTACCAACCAAACTTCAGAAGAGGAGATGGATAGTATGGGGGTAGAGGGAGACTTGGAGACGGCAGAGAAGGAGAATGAAGACTGCTCAAACTTTGAGACTGTGGAAGAAACCACCATGTCCCAGAAAAGAGCCAAAAAAACTAAGAAAGGGGACACAGGACCGTCGTCCCTGGAAAAAGTGACTGATGAAAGAAATTCCAGTAATGAAGGTGTGGCAGTGCAGTCTTTTTTAATGAATGGCCATTGGCTCCATCATAAGTACAGGAGCTCCTCCTCTTACACATTGTGCTAACTGTGCTCTCAGCAGGTGAAGCTATGGACCACGACTCCAGTGACGTTATTACTGAAGTTTCAGCTGATGGAGATGTGCAAAGGTAGGAGCTGGGTTAATGTTCATCAAATGCTACCCCAGCTTTGAGGAATAGTCTGCTCCTCTTTGATAAAGTTATTCTGATACTGAAAAATATCTTAAATTAATAGATTTGAATATTGCTGCGTTTTCACTCTGTTAAATACATTTAATGTATGTTTTGAGGAATTAAATAATGGATTAAATTGTCTCTAACCGATACAGCTTAAGCCCAGCCAATGGGTTGGAATGAAAAGCAGCAGATCCTTAACCCACTAGGAAACACCGTAAGGTGTTCTAATGTCCTGTCAGCTTCTGACTGCATTTAATAGCCAGTTTGAAGACGAGTCACTTTTGGAGTGGAAATCAGGTGCTAGCAGGGTTGTTACTTTAGAAGCATGTGGATGGGAGCGTGTTCTGCAACCTGTCCTGCAAGAAATGTGTTTTACTAAAACCAGGTCAGAGAGACCAGACAGTTCTGCAGAGAGATGGAAGAGAGCTGTGATCAAGCCAGCCCAGATCTCCACAGGGCGTCTTCAGAAGCCTATCCCAAACCTTGGACGGCGAGGGGACAAGAAGATCTCGGAGCCAAAGGAAAAGACCAGTGATTACAACACAACAACTTGTGAGGAAGACAAAGAGTATGATGGGCATAAGGTACAGAACACACTGTATAGATATATTTCTCAATTTATCTAGTGCTTGAAAAATGTTTCCCATTGAAATCAGTGGTATTTACATGTCTGACTAATGAGATTTCAGCTTGAGACAATTTCGAAGAATTAATTATATTCAAGCGAGGCTAACCTGAAATTCTATATGCATGTTTGCCTAATAAGTGTCCATGTATGAATATATATATATATTTTTTTTAAGTATTATAATGACAACCACTCCTCGTTTACCGACTACGTTCCATTTCAATGACCAGAGAATTAAATGAAATGGTTGCCAAGTGAAAATCAAGGTAGCCTAGGTGTAACTGCGACTGCTTAAGACTTTGCTTCAGCTTTCCATACTCAATCTCTTTTATCTGCCATGAAGTGGACATCAACAACATTTTGTACATTCTGCTTCAGTGATCTCTATTACCCCGGCACACCATACTGTAAGGCGTACAAAATTTGGCCGTAAATGCACGTTGGTCAGAATTTTTTTTTTTAAATCTTTTTATCAACGTATTTGCAAATGGTCAGTAACTAGGTAGTTGCTAAACGAGGAGAGCTGGTAATGTATGTTTTCACTTGGATTCTTATCAGAGTAGTAATGTTGAAATTTAGGCCTAACTTTGAATGTGGGATTGATGGTGTTTGAATGCTATGCTGCCCTTAAGACTGAAAGTGCAGCTTCAGCTGGGAAGAGGATGACGGGGGCAAAGCGGACCGCCGGGGTCCTGGCCTCTGATGAGGAGGGGCAGGCGGGCAAGGCTGAGGAGGAGCTCAGTGTCACGGCCAGGCAGGAGCACATGCTGAACAGGCCCACCCGGTAGGGGGGGCACTTACTTTGATTACGCTATGCATCTGCATGTTAATTTACTCGTCCACATTCTAACTTTAGCATTCTATGCTTTTATTTTTTAAGAATATCTTATAATAGATTGGGGTGCTGTGCCTGTGATCAGAAGGTCACTGATTCAAGCCCCCTTGCTCTAGGGTGATTTCACTATTGGATCCCTGAGCAAGGCCGCTAATCATTAATTGCTCCAGGCTGACCCTGTTTTCTGAGTCCGTAACATTTGGAATGTTCAAGTGGAAGAGCGCAGTGAGTGGATTGTGTCTTGCTGGACAATAATAGGTCAGGGAGGATCCCCAAGATGTCCCAGGCGCTGCAGCAGGCTGGGGATGAGGATTCAGCTGAAGAGCCTTCACCTGCCTCCGAGACTCAGGGAAAGACGTCCCCCCAACATCGGTGCCGGAAGCCGCCTGGGTCCAATCAGAGGAAAGCCAAGCCTGCAATGGGCAGTGTGCCGCAGAGGTCCAAGAGGTCCAAGCTGGTGACACTGCGGGCCCCCCTACCGGAGGGCCCTATGGAGGACAGGCTGAGTGAAGCCCGGCCCGACGAGATGTATAGCTATCCCACGAATCCCGAGGAGCAGAACCAAGTGCCAGCCTTCGTCCCTCTCAGTTTGCGGTCCCCAGAGCCCATGAGGCTGGAGGTTGAGGAGACCATGGAGGAGGTTAGAACCCATATCTCATTTAGGAGGTTTTTACAGTCGAAGGAAAATGTTGGTGTTCTAAAATAGGGGCTCTGTGGGTTACTGCTGTTGCGGAAGGTTGTCGGTTCAAATCCCATTGTCCACAGAGTGATTGCACTGTTGGGCCCTTAAGCAAGGGCCTTAATCCTGATTGGACCCTGTTCTCTGATCCTCACTGACATTGCTTTGAACAATAGGATCTGATAAATGGAAAAAAATATAATATAAATAAAATATATGTAAAATTCTTAACGTGTATTATTGTAGCTTGGTAAACTAAAAATATTGCTATTTGGTTGGTCATATAACCAACCAAACAATGAAAGATGTTGCCAGTCATTTATGTTACACTCCGATTGCTACTTCTTAAAGTATTTGTTAGAAAATGGCCACCAAGATGATTTTTCTCAACTTTTTTTTTACGTAACTTCTGTTTCTCTTTTTACATTGACACAGCTGGAGATTTTAGTCAATGTTCCTGATGCCCTGAGTATGATAGAGCCTGAGGATGTGCTGTGCCATCCATCAGAGTTCCAGGGACCACAGAAGGAGGTTCCGGTGCCACCTGAGCATCAGCTGGGCGTGTTCGCTGTATGGAATCCGCGATGATCTGCTATTCCTGACGTTACTTTGGAATTTGTTTATACACACAAATGAATGTGGTTTCCTGTGCTTTTGTTTTGATTATAGGGGGTGATGAAGTGTTTGTCTCTAGATCATGTAGAGGGTACGTTGTAATGAATTCATCTTCATGCCTGATTACTCATCTAAGTGAACATTTCAGAAGCATGTTAATCTAGGGAGTTTTTTCTCCACTTTTACAGTTTCGGAATCTGAAGAGAGCTGCAATGAGGCAGCGAGGACTCTGTTGACAATAAGAAATCCTGAACTCCTGTCTCTACCCCTGTCCATGACTGTCTCAGGTGAGAGAAGATCTTGCCCATCGTCTGCAGGCCCTGCAACAGAACAACTGCTGGAGGGCAGGAGATATATCAGATCATATGTGAAGGAATCCAACTTCTAAAGACATCAAGGTTATAGGAGGCCTAGAACCTACCTGAGGCAGCATAGGGCTTTTCTGCATCTTGAACTTGATGCAAATTGCATTAAATAATTAAAAATATATTAATTGTGGTGATTTTTTTTTTTTTTTTTTGTATCCTTACCCAGAAGCCATTGACAAAGAAGCCAAGGCTGAAACACAGGTTGCTTCTGAGCAAGAAAAACAAACGCAGTGTAGTCGGGATACAACATCTACCACGACCCCCGGCTCTCCAGTCAGGCCATCTAGGCTTGCGGGTTCGGACGTGGCGCTGGAGCCTCAGAATTCTCAGGGCCACCTTCCTAAGAAGGACGAACCTCACCCGGGACAGGGTGTGCAGAATCGGTAGGGGGAGCTCCAGATGAGGGATGGGAATGTTACTGTAGTGCTGCACAGGTACTCTAAAGTGGCTTTTTTGGTTTCAGTGTTAGCTGTACAAGCAGTGCTGAGGCCAAACCAGACTCCATTCACAGTTCTTCGCCTCCCAAAAAGAGCCACTTCCAGAAACCAAAACCAAACCTGGTGCTTGCATCCCGACCCGCTTCAGTGTGTCAAACTCAGAGCACGGTCACAGTGAGCTCAGGTGAGCACCCTGCAGAGTGTATATTCAGTTAGCCAGTCATTTTTTAAACTCTACTACTTGATAATTTTACCCCCATACTTCTGAGTATTGCATTTAACTTTCTGGACAACAGAACTGCTTAACCATGTTTTTTCTTGTATTTTTTTTTACAGAAAAAGTAGAAGTGACTCAATCGGAAAGTAATGAATCAGAGACAATTATCAACAATAGTGCTTCAGAAGGAAGCAAAAATGAAGGATTGGAGGTTGAAAACCCAAAAAAGAGTGAAACATCAGTGTAAGACATTTCAGAATAATCTAGCAGTGACAAGGGCAGCTGTGCCCAGAATTTTGTGCTCAGTGCATTTCGGGGTGTCTGAGTGTTTGTGTGTCTGTGTGTCTGTATGTGTTTAGTCCTGAAATGTCTCAAGAGGCCGGTGTGAGTTCTGAGCCCATAGCTCAGACTGGACCTCAGAGCCGGAGAAGCCGATTCCCAAAACCCAGACCGAATCTTGGACGTGCTGTTCGGAACCTGCGGCCAACGGCGCTGAGCCCTGCGACGCGAATGACAGGTAAGGGCACAGGCCCTATATCAGCCAGGGCATGCTGGTGCTGTGCTCTTTCCTTTTTTGAGCTGTACCACAATATTCTGGGACAAGTTGAAGATGATTTTTCCCTGCTTCGTACAATGGACTGTTGTATTCCTTTATCATCATTTGTTGTCATACGGTCAGCTAGACTTTTGAGTAATTATTTTGCACTGTGAAAGTTCCAGAATATGCATAATTTTCAAGCAAGGTATAAACCAGTCTGGGTATGTGCAGTAACAATAAATCCTTCAAGAAGAATTACTTGAATGTTCCTGTAGCCAAAAACGTTTCAGAACTTATACAAAATGCATGGTATTCTCCCATAAGTAAAGGTACTCTGTAGAACCAGATATAATTAAAAACATATAGGTTTTACTGATTTTTCTACTTCTGTAAAACTGTAGGGCTACTGCTAAGGTACTTGGGTAAGGGCATCTGTAAACAATCTGCATCACTTTTCAGCAGACGATAGCGGGCCATCTGAGGAGACTCCAGCAAATGCCAAATCAAAGACACATGTGGAAGCCAGAATGTACGTGGTGATTTACTTACTCAAAAGCATGGTTTCATACCCAGGCTGTAGAGCTCATGTTGTGTTACTGGTAGCTGTTGTCATGTGGGGATTTGTGTAATGTCCTTTCATGCTCTGGTTGCATAGGGTCCCAATAGCTCAAACTCCGGCAGAACAACTTGTAGCTACCAGAAGTCCGAAGATCCTTGGATCAAATGAGGTTTCTGTTGCAGAAGGGGAGGAGCCGTCTGACATGCCAGTGGACCCTGACCCTGCCCAGGTAAGCTGAAGCGGGGGGTGAATTACAGCTGAGCTCAGCCTACTTTCACTTTTACCTAACTGGCTTTTAGACTGCTGTATACTTGTACTAATCTGCCCTGCTTGTACATCACTTTGCACAAAGCGTATGCTTAATAAATAAATGTAAATGAAAATTCAGTGCATGTGCTTGAAAATTTGCAGATGTTTTTCTGGCAAATATGTTTGCAGATTTGTTTAAAAGCTCAGCACACTTGCAAATCTCATTACGCATACGAATCTGGTTATGCACACGGATTCTGAATACGAATTAAGATTCCTGTACACATTTACAAATCTTATTACACACACGTGGATTGAGATACATTCACACGAAACTCCCTACACATTTGCAAATAAGAACATAAGAACTATACAAACGAGAGGAGGCCATTCAGCCCATCGAGCTCGCTTGGGGAGAACTTAACTAATAGCTCAGAAGTTGTTAAAATCTTATCTAGCTCTGATTTAAAGGAACCCAAGGATTCAGCTTGCACTACGTTATCAGGAAGACTATTCCATACTCTGACTACA